TGGGATAAATGGGGAAACAATTTTAAGCTCAACTCTAAAATGTACTTTGCATCACATATCACATCCCTACCAAATTAATATGGCATTAACATTGCCAGTCAGAAATTGCATATAAAGGGAAAAATGTACAAAATACTAGTAGGTTCTGATTTCTCGTAACCGAGTCAGATGAGTGAATTATAAAGAAGTGTCTTCACTACATAGTCAATGAAGATTTATGAATCTTGACTGCAGAAAGTTTATCAATGACCATCTTCATTGCTGCAGCTCCTTACCAGTCAGCTATTTATTGGAACAAAAGCCTAATCCCACTACCAGTATTCAAATGGAAAGAATATGAGCAAAATACAAAAACCTCTCTGGAAACATGTCAGTATTACATTTACCGTTTTACCATAAATAGTGGGGAAAAACATATGGACAGGGAAAGTGTTTTCTAGGTAGAGCTGGATGTGGAAAGTAATGCCAGCCCAAGCCTACCCGATTGTCATTCTTATTGAGATAACTTCCTTGCAAAGTGCATTTAGAATGTACGGTGAAAAAGTATGGATGATTATGCAACTTACCTTTACAAGATGAACAAGTGATGCAAACCACCTCATCTCTTAAAATATTAATAAATTGAATACAATAGATAAAACTAAACATACCAAAGTTGCAGGCATGGCCTTTACTATACTAGACATTCATTCATGATGCCATAATATATGATGCCAAATACACAGGACATCTCATCTTCAGCTTTGAATGCATGATGAAATTGTTGAGAGGCAGTTCAAAACAGTCAAATGATGCATAAGAACACAAATGCAACTGCTACATACATGAAAATATCAGGAAGAAAGTTATGCTACTAAATTAATAAAGATAAATTAGAATTTACCGAAGATCTTGAGGGCACTAGAAAGGGACGTTTGATTTATCAAACTTGTTAGGTTTCTCATCAGCATTATGAACATGACTAAGGGGAGAAGTCAGCATCAACCCATAATTTGATCTTGAAGCATGTTTCCAGTGAAGCCTCTGCAATTTTTTTAAGTTTATTTCATATGTGAAAAGAAATTTCGGAAGTATACTTTGAGGCATGAATAGTTTACAAGAAAATAATTAAATGTAGACACACATTATCCAAAAAATAACATAACTTGATGATAAGAATTAGGACTTACAATTAAATTGGCTAGAGCAATCCCAATAATATCGCGGTTTGTAGCTATCTCAAGCCCTACAATTGAAGTGCCAGTTAAATCTGATGCCATGGATCTAGGGTCCTCCACACACCTTCCATTGACAATAGCAAACAAGCTGTGTCCTGAAGTCACTTTGAAGAGCTCCTACAGAGAGAAGTGTAGAAATTCAGTGAATTTATTCAACGTAGGCAATTGGCCAGAAGAAAAAACTCACTTGCAATTTTTCTAAGCAGAAACATAACTATGGATACAGTGAGACATCAAATGCGCATCACTACAAGAATGAACTAAGAATTATGTACCATGAAAATAACTTTCAAGATTAAAGTACCTCCAGGTACCCTGTTTGGGGCCATATCAAAAAATCTTCCCCAAATCAAGATCCCACAATCGTTAGACCAAGCTGTCGACAAACTTCAATGTAAATTATGCTAAGCAAAATTGCTGTAATTAACAAAATCATATTATTAGACTGCCTAAAATGACAATGAAATGATGAGGAAACATGTATTACAGTAAAGAAAAACAATTGCAATGACATTGCCATTAGATCAAAATTATGAGGGAAATGTGTTGCAAAGGTAAGTTTTTTGAAGAAGTAGAATGAGGCTTTACCACTGCCATATCCAGAGCTCAGTACTGAGTGTAAGTATGAATACTTAAAATCTACAAGAACAAGGAATCTTTTGAAGCCTCTTAACTGAAAAAGAACTAAACTGATTGCCTCCAAAACTTCAACCAGATGGCAGCCTATCTCTCTTGAAACTAGCTCTGCTTCAACTTCTTTAGCAATTGCATCCAACTCACTCAGCCATTCAGATATGGTCTTTCCACCCAAAGGCATTTGCTCCACAAAATCCCACTCTTTGATATCAGATGGGGAAGAAACATTTATCCTTTCATTCAGGAGGGCACGAGCATCCATCTCTCGGTTGAAAGCCATGAATGCCTCATCTTCAGCTGCAACATAAAGCAAAGCCTTCAACAAAAGATATCAAGCAAAATAAAACTTCCGACTTACATTTCAAAAGAATGAATTAAGCAATAATAAGTACCTCACCGAATAAAAACTCTTCTTCTAACCACTCACCATATAAACGATGAATTAATGAAGGCCTTATAAATTATCTAGCAGGTAGCACCATTACCATTTGACAAGGTCAAACAAAAAAAATGAGGAAGTAAGCAGGTAATCGGTATATTTGTACCTTAGCAAGAGAGATGTCTTTGTCCTTGGAATGAAAGGAGATCTCCCTGGTGAACTTGTCCCTTGCAGTCTTAAGAGCCTATGGATCGTATTAGAGTTCAACAGAATATTAGGAAATGGAAATGGAAGATAATCTAAGTAATAAAAATAATGATTAACACGTCGAGGTGGATATCCATAATGGATGAACAACATCTATGTATATATTGTTATAGATCAACCTCCTAGTAAAATTTGTGACGGGAAGAAGAGTCTTTAGTTAGCTGAATCTGATTGGAAAAAAGAGGGTAATCAGAAGCTGAAGTAGCAGCAATGATCCTAATCCTCCATCCCCTCAAGTCCTTGCGATCATGATGATAGTGATGATCATACCTGATGATCGTAAAGAATAAACGGATATTCCAGGGGTTTTCCTACTACAAATCCTTCTTCCATCTCTATATTCATTATACATTTATGCTACTAAAATATTTTAATTCCCATAACCCAACAGTCAAATTATAGTAAACCCACTTACCAAAATCAAGTACTGAGTAAGTGAGTATTAAAAAAAAAGGAAAAGAGAGTTAGAGAGAGAAACAAGTTCAATCATCGGAGAATTACCTGATAAAGCAATGATCAGGAAATGTTGGAGATGCCATAGCTGCCGCTGGCACGCAATATGATGTGCACAACATTTTGATTCCTTATCTTGCCTTGCAAATTGAGCTGGGGAAACGTGACATATAGAGCTTAAAAAAAAGCAGTCTATCACTAAAACAAGAGAAAAACAAAAGAAAGGTATAAAATGGAAGAGGATCAAGCGTCTTCTCTAAAGGGAGACGAGGCAGCAGTGAATTTGGAAGAAGAAGAGGGTCTGAAGATAGAGTGTAAGATCTTGGGACCCGGGTAACTACTAGCAAAACACAAAATGGATGATTTGGAAAATGAAGCAAATGAAGAGTGATTTAAGGAAAAGAAACAAGAATTGCCAAAATCCATAATAAGTTGGCAGGTGAATTGAAGTTTAACCAAATTAGATTTTTCAGTTGACTGAAATGGAAGTTTTGCTTAGGAAGAAGAAGAAAAAAGAACAAGAGTTGTAGCATGAAATTGATAAAAATTTATTGTAAGAGCTAAGTTAATGCCAAATTTATGGATCACAATTTCAGCGGCCTTGCTCTTTTCTCTCTTCTATTTTCTTTTACTAATTTTTAAATCCTAAACACAAAGTTAAGAACAGGGATCTGTATATAATAAATATTATTGCATTTTGGCTTTAATTTTTTTCTTGCAGAAGCCCTTTTGTAACTCTCTTTAATTAAAAAAAAAAAACTGATTATAGAGTGAAATGCAAATACTAAAAATGCCAAGTTGAAAAGACAAAAGGGATGGTAGAAGAAATTAATCAATGTGGGCAATGTTTCTTTGAAAAAAAAAAAAAGAAGCTTTTATTATTATCATTGGTGGATTGAAGGACGGTATACGAAGAAAAGAATGAAGCTTTTAAATATAATAGTAATAATTATTGATATGGGTATTCGCTACTAAGTTGCAACATTGGTTTGGTTTGGTTTACAGAATTGAAGAGAAGAGAACGGAGCAGATTGGTTGGAAAAGCTGGATGATGGTAATAATATAATTCAAGGCCATTCTCATTAGTAAGGGCAATGAATTGGATTATGATTTGGGGTTAGCCCCACATGACGTTTACTTTCAGCTACTTTTCCTTGGTGGGCCTAAGTCCACTTTAATTCTCTATCATGTCAATGTGTATTCCGTTTTTTTCGCTGTTTTATTCGGCATTTCCTAGAATTGTTTTTATTTTTTTTAATAATAGCCAAATAAATTTTCAAACTTTACTCCAAATAAAAACAAACCCTCAAATTTTTATTACAAAAATTAAATTTATAAATTTTTATTTTATTACAGTTATACCTATTGAATTTTACAAATAGATGAATAAACTTTAATTGTTATAATTTTTAAGATATCATTCCCTCAAATATCTTTCATCAAATTCATCAAAATAAATTTAAGTTAGCATTTTCTATAAATGACTTCATCTAATTCAGAAGATTTTAATAAAAAATTAAATATTTTATAACGTTAAAATTATAATTACAATAAAATAAAGGTTTGTAACATTAATTTCTTACAATAAAAACATCAAAAACTTACTTTTATTATTTAGTAAAATTTGAGGACTTACATGGGTATTATCTATTTTATAATAATAATAATAATAATAATAATATTATTATTATTATTATTATTATTATTATTATTATTATTATTATTATCACTTAGCTACAGCTACATTAAAGAAGCAACTATTTCATTTTCATGAACTTTTTTTTATAGAATTTTCATAATTTTTATAAATTTTTCCTGTCAAATGAAAACAAAATTTTATCTTAATGTTTGATATAATCATTAGAAGATTTTATCGACTATATAAAGTATTTAAAGTATTGTTACATTTAAATCATACTGATTAAATGATACAAAAGGATTATGTAAATCTCCCTATTTTCTTTCCTGGTGAATGAAAAAAATTGGAAGAAACATAAAAGTTCCAGGCAATTTTCAATTATGGTTGGCAGGTGATTTACCCCTTTAATCTGTCGTATAGTATAAATTTGATTATATGAATTAGCCGGGGTTCAAGTACGCTGGGACAAGGCAAGATATCGCAAAATGTATTCCAACAAGAATGCAGAAAACAAACATGCACTGGGAACTCCGGAATCTCTCAGGTACAGTGACGCATGTTATACATCATAATACAACTGTTTATACAGTAAATCAAGTGTACATGACCCTTTCTCTCTCTGCTCCTTGTAATCTTTGACCAGCCGTATCTACCTGTTAATCGAATACATCAGGTAACCACTCAAGCTTACACTGACTCAACGCATACCAATTCCCAGAGGAAAATATCAAATAGCACATACAAAAAGAGTACTTCTTAGTAGTTATAAACTCTAATCACCGGGATATTGAGCCTCCTCCAGTATTGGAATGCCAACCAACCCAAAACAGAAAAGTACACTAGTAGAAAACAAACACGCTTGATATGGACGGTGTTAACAGCTTGAGGCAACCGAGACTTCATAAGTTGTAGGATCCTAACGAAGCTGATAGTAATGATAGAAGTTGAAAAGCCAGTGACAGCACCAGCTATTGCTTCCCACCTCAAATATATAGCTCTCCCGTCGCTGGAAAACCAAGACTGCAAAATCTTGGTGGATCTGATGGTATCATAACAGCCAGTAATTAAATAGAGGAAAACAGCATTAACCCACCAAGACATCAAAACAGACACATCCACAATATGTCCTATTCAACCATATTGCAACTATGATCAGCAAATGCTATCACTTCACATTAACTTAATGAAGAAAAAGAAGGAATAAAACTGTTTGCATCACTCTTGACACCTACTAAAGCTAGAGGAACATCTTCATTCAGCTTCAACAAGTCCACTAAAACCCTACCCTATCTCCATCTCTACCTTTCTCCCTTTTACTACATTTCATTACCTTCTTAAGGCTTTTCAAGTCCAATCTCATTGAAACCAATATTAAAATATTCTCATTCTCTCTTCCCAAACTTCAGAAAGAACTCTGCAGTTGTTCTCAGAATACTGTTCACTATAGCTAAAACAACCCAACAAATTCAGCTTTTCACTCTTTATAAACCCAAACCTTCCCCTGTAGCTACACTATCACAAAACAAATGTCCTACACCATTCTCACTACTAGATCCTCAAAATTTACTGAGGAAAGCCCTTCTTCTATTGCTGCTGTAACCCTTATTCAGCTTGAAACAAAATGAACCTCGTCATTCCAAACCCTTGAATTTCCAATTTTTCAAACCAAACCCACCCATCACCATTGCAGGTGGACTTCCAAAAAAGTTACAAAGCCCCAATCCAAAATGTAAAAAAGCTAACCAAAAACCCACGTCAACAAAATGATAGTGTTCCAGAATGCAAATAAATCCAACTGTCCTATTTCATCCCAACCAAACAATTTAACAACTCAATAGTCACATTGTTGAGAAAAGACAGCCGAACAGAACTCCTGAAACTATATAAAATAAACTTTAAATGTAAGAAAAAGAAAAGAACTTAAGTAATAAACTCACATTATTAAATATCGTATAATCATCTCGATTGTGGATGGATCTTTTGTTTGGCAACTGAAAAAACCATCATTATACAACTTTACTGTGGAAATACCTGAAGTGTACCAGCACTCATAGGTTTCATTAACCTGAGAAGGGGACTAATTAGATTATAAAGTTGCATTAAAAAGAAAACAAAAGAACTCTGTAAATCACCACGAGTAACAATAGAAACTTGAAAAATGCTACCTTGAACTTATTTTTGGTCAGCCAAGCAGCACCGAAGTTAGGCCTGCAGTTAAGAGGAAGGGCCTCATTCGGTGCCTCTGTGAAGGCAAGTCGTGTCTGACCCAAAGAATGGTCTCTGTACTCCACCTGAAATTGTTTAGCAAAAAACAATACTATAAAAAAAGTACAATATTTTGAAGTACTCACTATTGCAGCCTTTCCGCATAGTATTTTTATTATCCTAATATATCATTAATCTATCATTTCAGTAGTATAGCTAAATTACAAGATTTGGCAAATCCAAACCCCATTCAGTAATATAGGAAAGTAATAGAATGAAAATGCAAATCCAAAATCCATTCAATATATCATAATAGGAAATAGTTGAGATCAAAATGCATATTTGCCACAATTAAAGGAAACCCATATTTTCCAAAATTAGTAAAAAAGGAGCTCATGACTCAAATCAGATAAGATAACATTACCTTGAACACTGAGGTCCAATAGTAATCATGTCGGCATCTAAATTTCCTTCTCTCGAAAGGATAAAACCCATTCTTTGCTTTATTGTTCAATAATCCAAGCTCACAAATCTTCGATGACCTAATATCCACACCTGATTTTAAATTTAAAACAAAAAAGTGGCAAAAAGAAGCAACCTTGCATTACCCGAAAAAAAAACAAATTGAAAATATAAAAACAATAACGATAATCTAAGTGAAATTGCTAGTTACACCTGAGAATTATGCTAAAATTACAAAATAATAATTATGAAAGACAGTCAAAATCTTAAAGAAAAAAAGTCAAAGTTGATTGGTAAGAGAAACAGAGAGAAACTTACTGCTAGAGACTATCTTGCACTGTGTGGGGAGAGAAATCGGATTCGAAATTGATAATTCCCCAGTAAAAATGGCAACGAGTGCAACTAAAACTGATAAGGAAAAGAAAGCGAAGATAGGGAAGAGAAGAGCAAAAGCGATTCGAAGTAACATGCAGTGAAAACCCTTGTTACGATTATCGGGGATTTCTTGAGAATCCATACGTTAAAAGGCGCAAATCAACGGAAGGCAGACGACTTTCTAACGAATGCGCCGGTCACCGGTTCCATTTATCCCGTGATCGGAGAGTTTTCTACAGTCGAAGGAATAAAGAGAGTACGCTACGCTAGGGATCGTTGCGTTTTAGAGTTTTTTTTTTTTTTTTCTTTCGGCGAGTGGGTGTGTGTGTTAAAACGGTGGGATAAAATAATTTTGAGAGCGGACTTTAAAAATGTAATTACTATCTGGTCGGGTTATCAGGTCAACGCTTCAACTGGATCACCGGCTAAATTGTATAGTTAATTTTTCATTAAAATATATCTGTAATTATATATTTAAATAACAATATTTTAAATATATATAAACAAAAATAATACATGACAAAGTGATTATAAGGGTAATTTTTATTTGAAATCGAGATTCAACTGGTTTATTAGCTTGGATACCGAATTAATGCCAAAAAAAAAAAAAAAAACTCAAGAATAAAAAACCGCAAATTTGACCAAATTTTAATGAAATCATTCATTTAATCGGTCCAACATAAGAACCGACCTGTTATGATTGGATCAACTGATCCAGACATGAAATCGATTCAAATTAATGATTATGCCAGACATCTTAGTTAAGGGAATATCAAATTGACAAATTTAAAATATTTTTAATCAACTTTGACTTTGACTTGGAACGAGGTCAAAGTTCATGTGCAGTGTCAGACGGTCAAAAGGAATAAAACAAACTCACCCATATTTATATCATGATATATTATTAATTAATCAAGTGAAAATTAAGGTATGAATAAGAAATGTGAAAGAATGGGGTTCAAATTTTATGTATCAAACTCCTATTTCTATATAATATAAATATAGCATGGCATCAGAAGATCAATGAAAGGACTTTAATTTCTTTATATGTATAGCATTACCGTCCGACCAATGTTCACCAAATTATCAATTGAAACACCCATTATATATATTATAAAAAATATATATATATATATATTAATGATGGTGTTAGTAGATAACCAATCAAACACCTTTATATATGTAAATATGTTACAATATCCGAATAAATATAACAAATGAAAAGAAAGTTCTAATATAGTAGAACACAGTTATTCAACTACGCAGGATTGATGTACTTTTGTTTGATGTGGATTTCATCATCATTTGTTAAAAGAAAATGCAGTGGAATTGTTAGGGAAGAAAGTGAGAATAAAAGAAAGGAAAAGAAAAAACTGAGAGAAGAATCTTTTTCATGCTACTCAAAAAGGGTGAAGGAATCATCAAAGCTAAGCCAATTGAAGCCATCGCTCGCTTCCTTTAAAATCTTTCCATCGACAACACGAACATGAACATGAACAAGGCAACAAAATTCCCTATCTATCAGATTTAGCCTCTTGAACGTGGCATGCAATGGTTGGATCTTTTACTATATATTAAAAAAATCCCACGTCTTTTCTGCATGTAATTCAGCTCATGTTAGAAACAATCATTTCTCTTTTCTGCCTTTCACTTTTTTACCGCAATTAATTTATTAAAAAAAAGTGAAGAAAATAGTTCAAGTAAAACGAGCTAAATAAAGAAATAAGTAATTCTAATTAATAAACGAAAGAAAGAGAGAGAAAAGAAAGGAAAGAGTGACGGGAAGAAGGAAGGAAATAGAGGAGAGAGGAGGGGGGACAACGAGCCAGAAACAAAGAGCGAGGAAGTTGAGGGGAGTTATTTAAGGTTGAGCTGTTCTGTGTTTGTGTTTTACTTATAAGTTTGCAGGCGAGATCTCAGTGAGTTTAATGCAAACCCTTTCTGTTATGGCTCTCTTTCTCTTGTTTTTCTCCTTTGAAAGAGAGAATTTTTATTTGTATTTCTACATTCAACAACTCCCACCACCCTTTTCATTTCTTCTTTTGTACCTTATCCACACACATAATAATTGTATAATTCTCTTGTCAGATCTCTCTGCTTCTCTTATCTTAATATCCCTTCATTCTTCCTTCCATTTGCTTTGTACGTGCTTTCTGTATTTCTCCTTCTTTTTTTTTTTTTTTTTTGGGTTTTATGTCTTCCATTGCCTCAACAAATCTGACTTTTTTTTTTTTTGGGTACTGGTGAGGCTTGTTTTCTGTAACAATTTCCTATTTTTGGCTAATTACTTGGCAAAGACTTGGTTTTTAACTTACACGTATTGGAAAAAGCATGAAATTGTGGTTCTTCTCTCTTCCACCTTTACTACCCTCCTCTAAATTACTATTTTTAGATATTTACCAATTTTAATTCCAATCCGTAGTCAAACAAAATCTTCTCTTTTTCTTCTCTGGTTTTCTGGGTGCTTCTCATTTCTTGTTGCTGCAAATTTTGGATGAAAAGATTTCTTGCTTGTAAGGTTATGCAAAATGGCATTGGACCTGTGTGCTTTTTGCATTTTGTTAATTGATTAGTTGTTGTTCATGAGGTCAATGTATCTAACGATAATTCTGGTGAGAAAAAAAAAAAGAAAAACAACTGATTGGCCTGCATTGACAATGAAATCATTCAACCTTTTCTTCTATGTCAAGGAAATGATTATAAACCACATGCTGTGTTTGTTTATTTCTTTTCCTTTTAATATTATTTCCTTTTTTTCCTTTCCATGCTGGATAAGAAATCCATAGCTCCTCTGTTGCCTTTTTGATTCGGTGGGAAAGAGTATAGCAATTGAGAATGAATGGGACCATGCTAGAACAGCTGAGTTCGACATAAGTTGGCTGTGTGAAAGATACAAAGGCAAAGTGACATGTAAAGTAGTAGATGTCGGTAATAGTTGGCTTTAGATCTTCGAGTTTTAGAGCTTTTAAGGTCTTGTCTCATGGTCAGGATTGGTTGCAGGATCTACATTAAATTTAATTCTTGGTGTTCGAAGCCGAGTTGGTTTTGCTTTCCCATTCCATTCTCTTACGGGTTGATGGATATTTTTTCTACCCATTACTTGGATCCCCTAAAAAGCTAATTTATTTTTCATTTGTTGGTTACAATTTTATCGGTCTTTGTCATTCTCAACTGTAAAATTTAAACAATCAGTACGTCCACACCATGTAATATATTGATGGATTTTCTTTATTTCATCGTTATCTATTGTTGCTTTTTAAGTTTTTGCAGAACAGTTCATTTAACTGGATCTAATTACTTGTTTCCATGAACCTAAGGAAAATTAAATTTGCTATGTTGTATTGCCTTTTTCTGGTTTTCTTTACACGTCCTTAAGCACGGATGAAGTGATGCAATTTCAGTTACGTCAAAAGCAAGCTTCTCGGTTGATTTCTTCCTTTCTGTTTTGACTGATTGGTGGCTTTTGATGTTGCAGTAATTAATTATTTCTGAAATCATGAAGCATAAAGATGGAAAATATCATTCCCAACCTGATAAAGGTGTCAAGATTGTTCCTGCAACATTACTGGTTTTTGTGCTATGCGGGTTTTCTTTCTATCTTGGCGGAATCTTCTGTTCTGAGAAAAATAAATTGGAGGACAAGACAGTCCATGATGTTTCCAAGGACGTTCCTTCTACAAAAGAACCTGCGGCAAACCCCCTTCAAATCAAATCCATTGCCTTCCCTGAATGCAGCATTGATTATCAAGACTACACTCCATGCACAGATCCCAACGTAACACATATTCATTTAATGATGTTACAGGCTGCTTAACTTAAGTTAGAATGCTTGAGTGATGGGTTATGTTTATTGCTACAGAGGTGGAGGCAGTATGGTCTTCATCGGCTTACTTTCTTGGAACGCCACTGTCCTCCAGTGTTTGAGAGGAAGGAATGCTTGGTTCCACCCCCTGATGGGTATAAGCCACCAATCAGATGGCCAAAGAGCCGCGACGAATGTTGGTACAGGTATTGTAGTTTTTTTTTCTTGTTTTGCTAATTTACCTCGGGAGGGTGAGTTGCTTTCTTAAATTATTCATTTATCTATTTATTTTTAGTTTACATGGTATAAAATGTTGTTCGGCTTTCAGGAACGTCCCATATGATTGGATTAACAAGCAGAAGTCTAATCAGAATTGGCTGAGGAAACAAGGGGAGAAGTTCCTGTTTCCTGGTGGGGGTACTATGTTCCCCAGAGGAGTTGGTGCATATGTAGATTTGATGCAAGATCTGATCCCAGAAATGAGAGATGGCACGGTTCGAACTGCGATTGATACTGGTTGTGGGGTGAGTTGCTTTTCTTAAAGTGTGTTGAATTTTCATACTAAATATTTATCGGACTTGTTTGTCTCTGTTCCATGTACTGTTGTCTATGTTTTCATTGACTTTTGGAAGGGAATTGACTGTCCATCTCTTAGCTTCTCACTCCCCCCCCCCCCCCCCATGCTCTTCTCTGCCTCTATCCTTTTCTAAATTTTAAACTCTTTTAATTGATATAATTCCAGGTTGCAAGTTGGGGAGGTGATCTATTAGATCGTGGAATTCTGACAATTTCTCTTGCTCCAAGAGATAATCATGAAGCTCAGGTCCAGTTCGCGTTGGAACGTGGAATACCTGCAATCCTTGGTGTCATTTCTACCCAGCGCCTTCCTTTCCCTTCAAATTCATTTGATATGGCTCATTGCTCAAGATGCCTTATCCCATGGACGGAATTTGGTAAATGATTATCCTGAACTCTGCTCAAACTTAAATATAGTTTTCGTACAAACTAACATAGTTGCTGATTCCATTTATTATAATTTGTTATATGTCATTGTTGTTGTTGCTTTTATGTTGAATGGTTTTGTTTGATAGAGTTCCTTCTATGGCCTGAAAATTAAGAGGCTTTATCAGATATTTCCCTTGCATGCTTTTTGCTTTGCTTATCATATCCATCGAGCAAGCACCCTTTTTTGGTTACCACTTGCAATGTTTAAACAATAGATGCTCTTGATTTCAGGTGGAATTTATCTCCTTGAAGTCCATCGCATACTCCGTCCCGGTGGTTTCTGGGTCTTGTCTGGCCCTCCTGTAAACTATGAAAACCGTTGGCGTGGATGGAATACGACTGTGGAAGAGCAGAAATCAGATTATGAGAAGTTGCAGGACTTGTTGACTTCAATGTGCTTTAAATTGTATGCCAAAAAGGATGATATTGCTGTGTGGCAGAAATCTTCAGATAATAGCTGCTACGATCAGATTGCTGATCCAGACGCCTACCCTGCCAAGTGCGATGACAGTCTTGAACCTGATTCAGCATGGTACACTCCGCTACGTCCATGTGTTGTAGTTCCAGGGCCTCAACTCAAGAAATCAGCCTTAGAATCCCTGCCAAAATGGCCGGAGAGGTTACAAGTTGCACCAGAACGCATTTCAGATGTTCCTGGTGGGAGTGCCAGTGCCTTAAAACATGATGACAGCAAGTGGCAGGTGCGGGCCAAGCACTACAAAAAGTTACTCCCTGGGATTGGGACCGATGAGATAAGAAATGTTATGGACATGAATACAGTTTATGGAGGTTTCGCTACAGCTCTTATTGATGACCCCTTCTGGGTCATGAATGTTGTCTCTTCCTATGCTGCCAACACACTACCTGTGGTCTATGACCGGGGCCTTATTGGAACTTATCATGATTGGTAATTTCAAATACATTTATATGGACTTTGAATCCCGGGCATTCATCAGGAGCATAGCTCTGTGGCTGTGACATGATTGTTCTTTTGATGCTAGATTTTACATGGCGTTTACTTTATTGCCTCTTTTCTAGGTGTGAACCATTTTCAACATATCCTCGGACATATGATCTCCTTAACCTCGATGGCCTCTTCACTGCTGAGAGCCACAGGTAGATGTTGGGCTTATGTTCCCATTTGATTTCTAACGGATTCTTTAACCTTTTGCACTTTATTCTGGGTTGACAATGACATAGATTATTATTACAACTATATGATTTACGTTAGGCATGGCGGTTGCTGATTTGATAGAGTTGACATTTGAAAATGTGGCATTAACAGAGGGCATAGATTTGCCTTGTGCCTGAGAAAATTAGATTAAAAGGCTGAATAGAAGTAGGTAAGCTGCTTGGTTGACTATGATAAGAACTTGCATTAAAGAAAGCAGCTAGTCTAGTGTTTTGAATCCTGGTGGTTAAAGGCTTAGGATTTTTCCTTTAGAAGCATAAATATATTTGATAATTATATAATTGCATGCTAATTGACTGATATGATGTGAAGTGAAAATAATGAATTCCGAATTTGAGTAGTTTTTGAACTATTGCTCTGCATGTTCTGAAAATGATTGTTGCTTTGGTAGGTGCGATGTGAAGTATGTGCTGTTGGAGATGGATCGTATCTTGCGCCCAAAGGGGTATGCGTTAATAAGGGAATCCAGCTATTTTGTTGATGCCATTGCCACCATTGCCGAGGGATTAAGGTGGGGCTGCCATATAGAAGACACTGAATATGGTGTGCAGAAGTCTGAGAAGATATTAGTATGCCAGAAAAAACTCTGGTATTCCTCAAACAGTAACAGCAGTTGAAGATGATATAGTTATCCAAGTCAAGGTGACAAGTCTCTTGCCCGGTTAAAAGTATAATTATAGTTCCCCAAGAGTAGGAGCTGAAACAAGGAAGTTCCATACCGCACAAAGAGATTAGTTATCCTCCCCCATAGATATCACTAAATTCATATTCGTCAATTGAAGAGTTAGCTTCCCAATAATATAATTATCTACAAACTTTTGTAATTTAGTAAGTAGTACATTATTATTAGTTTTGCAACTTTGTGCAAGTGAAGCCCACAGGAATTGGGACAGATGGTCCATTTACTTCGCCCAAAATCAAAATTTTTGAAAAATTAATGATTTTCAATCTTAATAAATAAATAAATTAGTTATTAATTATTAAATCATAAACAAACAAGCCAACATGATTAATAAACATATGATTTATTGACAAAATATTAAAAATTTAATTTTAATAATTAAAAATCAATTCTAACAATCTCAAGGAAAAAACAAAACGAATAAAAACAACCTAAAATTGGAAGTAAATTTGATAGGAAAGAAAAAGAATGGGCTTATGACACGTGGGAGTAGGTTGTCCCAAATTCCCAATCATGAACCAAAAGATATCCCGGATTGCGAGGACATCTGAGCATCCATCGTACCAGCGTAGCATAAAAGCGTAGGGCGTACCGTAGGCAAGAAACAGACTGAACGAACCGGTGTCAGTGTGTACTGGGCGACTATAAATGGAAGAACGTAGACTACCTAATAGAGGCAATTATAAATATATAAATATATAAAATACCCAAAATTAAGGCTTTTTTTTTTTTTTTTTTAATTCACACGAGAAGTTCGTGATTCTACCGACAACAATATTAAGTTTAGATATTTCGCTTCATATTCCAAAAAAAAAAAAAAAAAACCCCTATTTTTACTTCTCTGGAAGAGGGGGAATAGCGAAGCTCTGGATTCCACCTCTTCCCGTCCTTGGCGACGGTGCTTATGCCGGTTTGTTTTCAGGTATCTCTCGATCTCTTTACACCTAGATCTGATCCAGTCTCTTCTGTTCTTGCTTTTTCGTCTGATTTTTTGGGTTTAGGGTTATGTTAGAGTTTTTGTCATTGGATTTATTTTTCGATACTTTTGCTTTGTAGCCTGTTTCATATTTAAGGATTCGTTTGGATTGGTGTTGTTTGGATGACTTATCGATTGGGTTTTGCGTGTTTGATACATCGGAATATTTCTGGGGATTTTTTTTTTATATCTTTTCCCACCTTTTTGTCTCACGGGGTTTCCTGCTTGTTTGCTATATAATCCGGACATAGGAATTGTTGTTATCTAAAATTAGGTATTGATTTTGTTGTGATCTGGAGAATTGCTACCAGTTGAGAATTGTTGACTGAATATTGCTTAAATTTGCTAGCCTCAGCTCTTTTCCTGACAATTCGCTTTCTAAGATGGATATTATTCCACTTTTTGTACATCGTTGTATGTCATATGCTTGATTTTGCGTTTATTCTTTTCTGAGTTATGCGGTATTCTCATCCCTTTCTAGACAAGCAGCAATGAGTTCGGTTTAAGGATTATTCATCAAGATCTTGTGCTACTTTCCAATTTTCTATAGAAGTTTTGTGTATTGTATTGGGTCATTTGATCCTGTAGGATCTATCTTGACTCAAGTTTCAATTGATGTTGTTTTAATAATAGATTGAGGTGGACTTGGATTTAAAGGGATTTAGTTTCCTTTACAAGACATGGAACAAGTGTGCTTCTGGTCAAATTGCTACCTTTTCCGGGTGTTTTCAGTCCAAGAAGTACTCGACTGGCGGTTTCTTGTCCATGGAGATTTTCTTTTGGTTTCCTTTGTCAATTGCACTTAGTGCCCAGTCTCTTTTCAATACTCAATACGTGAGGCGCGATGCAAGTTTTTTCTGAGATAGATGTTGGATCTTTAGCGCACTTGTGCTAGTAAGCTATCTTTTCTTCTCTGTTTGACTAATATCAGATAGGTATGTTCTAAATATTTTATTGTCAGTGCATTGCTGATACAACATCCATTCAAAGATTTTGGAAAACGCCTTCCAGGTGCAAAATTTATTTAGCAAAGATATCTTTTCTCTTATCGTTAACTATTTGTTTCTTTTCTAACCTTTATAATGGTTTTTTTCCTCTTCTATCATCACAGGACTGAACTCTCCCAATAGACAGTTGAAACTTGCTAAGCATTAGCAGCTGTAGTTCTTAGTTAATGTTCTGTTGTTGCTACTGATGGGTTCTGGTTAGTGATGAGATGTTCGTTTACTGAGCAGTCTGCAACAGTTTCTGTTTAGCATGGATGAGTTAATTGCAATTAAGCCTTTTAACAGAGTGATTTTATCTTGAGCTTGGGATCATTCCTGTTGGCTGGAGCAATCATTCTGGTTGGTTCGTATCAGTATGTTTTGTGGAGCTCATCTGTTTCTTCTGTTGATGCCTTGTTTTCATCTTGAAGCTGTGGATTTAGTAAGAAATAAGGCTGCAAAGCACATCCACCATATTAGTTCTGTTTTTATGTTATTGCATGTTGCTTGAGGAAATTAATGGTGGATTTAGCTGACCAGCAAGGCAGTTTGTTTATTTTTTATGGTTTTTAATACAAGCAATCTTCTACTGAAGTTAAATGTCACATGTCTATCGTTAGTTCGTATACATCTCTTAAATAAAGGAAGGGCTACTTTTTGTTCTGCCAGAAAATGGAGAGGTAAGTTGTGTAATCTAGGATGTGCTGGATGATAATATTATCTGCACGGTGATTTATGCTTATCAATGTTTGGGATGATTTTAGGTACAAGTTAATTAAGGAAGTTGGTGATGGAGCATTTGGTAGTGTGTGGCGAGCTATTAATAAGCTGTCTGGTGAAGTTGTGAGTATGCCTGGGTTTTTGTTGTAAGAATATGTTTCTTTTAATATTTTGATAGTAATATATCCTTTTCAAATAAATGTTGTCTGTTTTAAGGTTGCAATTAAGAAAATGAAGAAGAAATATTATTCATGGGAAGAGTGTGTGAATCTGAGAGAAGTTAAGGTAATGTGAGTTGCTTTGTTCTGTTTTTGCTCCTAGTTATTTATTTCATATGCATGATAATCTATTTCTCTGGACAGTCACTGCGGAGAATGAATCATCCCAATATTGTGAAGCTTAAGGAAGTCATCAGGGAAAATGACATTGTATACTTTGTGTTTGAATATATGGTAAGTGACCAGTTTGTATTTGTGTTCTACTTATAAATTGCTCTTTACTCAGGTTTAATTATTTTCCTGAAAACATGAAATTGTTCCAGGAACGCAACCTTTACCAACTTATGAAAGACAGGGGAAAGCTTTTTTCAGAAGTTGAAATCAGAAATTGGTGTTTCCAAGTCTTTCAAGGTCTTGCATACATGCACCAGCGTGGATATTTTCATCGTGACCTAAAGCCAGGTGTTATATTTGACTTTTTTTCTGTGAAATTCATATTTATTTTTTTTATCTACTCAAAGAAACATTCTGCCCTTTTCTTTCCAGAGAATTTGTTGGTTACTAAAGATATAATCAAAATTGCTGATTTTGGTCTTGCACGTGAAATAAGTTCACATCCACCTTACACAGAGTATGTCTCAACACGCTGGTACGTTTGATACATTGAAGACATTGAGAATCTAGTGGTTTTTCTTCCTGTTTCTGTCCTTTTCTTTTTTATATTCATTACAACTATATGAGCCTTAGATTCATTGTATTTCAGGTATCGTGCCCCTGAAGTAATTCTTCAGTCATACTTGTATACTTCAAAAGTTGGTAAGTTTTCAGTGTAATCAATAGCGATTCACTTAAGAAATGAAGTGTGACAGCCCTTTTAATTATCTTTTTTCTTGTAATTACAGATTTGTGGGCGATGGGTGCAATCATGGCTGAGTTGTTCACCTTACGCCCTCTTTTTCCTGGTACCAGGCATGTTCCTTTTTCTATTATTTTTTGTTGTGAACTTTCTTCTTGAGATTCTGCATTTTAGAAAGGAATTGAATTACATCTAATTATCTTTTCTAATGTATTTGGCAATGGGTGATTGCCTGGTTATTCACAGGATTGATGCTAACCATTCATTATTATTATGCGTGCAGTGAGGCAGATGAAATATACAAAATTTGCAGTGTGATAGGTTCCCCAATTAAGGATTCGTGGCTTGATGGGCTTAATCTTGCAAGGGTTATAAACTACCAATTCCCACAGGTCTCTCTCTCTGTTAGATGTTAATTTCGTAGCATGACTTCCAAATTATTTTAGCAATTTGCAGTTGCTGGGTAATCTTATGAGTGTATGGAATCTAATATGTTGTAATGTGTTTCACAATGCTTTCTGTTATTGAACATTTCAGTTTGCTGGTGTGCCTCTGTCTATGTTGATACCGTCAGCAAGTGATGATGCAATCAACCTTATTACAGTTAAGTTGTATGCTGACTCTGTTGCTTTTTATTCATTTTCACCCTAAAATGGATAGAGCGTTATGTTATGTGATTCTTACCATTAAAATTTTTATTTGGATTGTTTGAAGACACATTGACATTTGCTTTGCTGCTTTTCTTTAGTCTCTTTGTTCGTGGGATCCTTGCAAAAGGCCTAGTGCTGCCGAGGCCCTTCAACATCCTTTCTTTCAGGTGCCTGTTATTATAGTTGTTTTAGTGTTCTTAAGAATATTTTGAATTGTTCTTTTATGAGTTCAAAATGAAATTTATGTTGTGACAAGTGCTCTGCTCACAGAATTTTCTTATGATGTGCAGAGTTGTTTTTATGTTCCACCCTCTCTTCATTCCAGAGCAGCTGTTTCTAGAACTCCTCTATCTGGTTTGTTCTAGATGCAATTTTAGATTTTTCTTTGGGAGTGGGTATGTTATTTAGTTTGATTTGTGGCCAATTTCTAATTTGCATGCTTGTAGTTGGAGTGAGAGGAACATTGGAACAGCAAGCAGCCAGGAGGTATTCTGGGGTTCTACCGACTGCAGAGCTCACTAGCAGTCTTTCTTCTCTGAAGACAAATGCATCTTTGGATACAGGTGGATTGTAGAATATGTACTAATGCTGAAATACTGTACTAATGATATTGGATTTAGAGTGCATGATCTCTCTGCTCTTAAGAGGATTTTTCTTGCATATTATGAGCATGATCAATTGTTCTTTCTAAGTTTATGATCAATTGTACAACCACTTTTTTATTAGTTTGAGTCTTCTGCTTGGTAATGTTATTAGCAATTAAATCAGCAGTAATGCTTTTTTTCAGAGCTGTGTATACTTTTATCCTTTCCTTGTTATTTCTTTCAAATTGCTACTCCCAAGTGCTGTTTGTTTCCAACTTATATTGTGGATCCAGTGATTATGGTTAATTCTTGCAGGTGTACAATGCAAGCTGGATATGGTTAATAATAAGAATGATAAATCATTGAAGAACTCTGCCAAACAACCAAGGTATCGACCACCACAAAGAAAGAGTCCAAGTAAGTGTTTTTTTCTATCTAGATTCAACCATATCATGGCTATTTGTATCTGAATATTATCAGCCCTTGGAATATAAGGAAAATGAAACTTTATATATACATACACGCATGTATTTTATGTCATTGAGATGGACAATTTTCAAGCACCTATTTCTGCATTAATGTTGTTTGATACTGTTAGTGATCGACTCAAAAATATATTGGTCCAGCAACATCCATGAACAAGGATGGAACTGCTAGCGGAACTTGTGATGTAAAGGAGAAGTTTGCAAACATGACAATTGGAAATCGCAGGCAGTATGTTGGGCAATTAAGGGCGCCAGCTATGAAGACGGGTACAATGGACTGCAGAATCTAAGGACATGTTTCTTAGACCAAACCAACAGTCTGGCAAAACTTTTACCAGAAAAGTAGCGGGATGAGATAGCCCAGCCTCAGGGTTTATAATAATTGCATTTCATTGTATATGGAATCATGGAGTCCAAATATCAAAACTAGTGCTTTGGTTTGCCCTGTTTTGTGTGTTTTCCTATCAGTAACCATATTATTATTACAACCATGAGACTAGTTTGTTTCAACATGTTGACCAGTGGTTGATAATAAAATGCGAGTATTTTCTTTCAATATCTTGAGTTTTAACATGATTGTTGGGTTGAATCCTATTTTCCACTATAAAAACATGTAAGTATCATGCTGCGCAGATTTGGGTCAATTTTAGAAAGCGAAGATAGATTCTGAGCAGGCCTAGGATATAGTTCCCAAAAAGAGAGGAAAAAAGAACACTAAAAGCCTTGTACTATATTGCTGCATTGCCTTGAGCAACCAGTAAACCTTTTTATAAGACGCGGGACCAAATTAAGAGAGCTAGCTCCATTCCAAAAAAAAAAAAGAAAATATATATATATATATATATATATATATAGCTTGTAGGCATTGAAATGTAAATTTACAGTTAAACTTCATCAAAGTTATTTTAGTGTTTGAGAATGAAAACATCAGTGGGCAAAACTGAAAACAAGAAGGCAAAGAGAAGGTATAAGAGGCATCACAATGTGAATTAGTTGCAGACGAAAATGTGAATGAGTCCTACTTCTTCCGTGATCCACCCCAAATGGATTGCCAAAAAACAGGCCAGTTCTTCTGAGCCTCATTCCATCCCATGAGTGAGCCTTCCCTTAGCGGATCCCAACTAGAGGACACAATGCCATAACTCACCCCTAATAAGGCAGTCCCAAAGAAGAAGAAGGAAACAATAAAGGGCACCCACGTTGGGACATCAATTTTTAAAACAACCTTGAGATAGTAAAAGAATGGGAAAAATAAGAGCCCCATAAACAGTGGAATTCCTACCGAGAAACCCATTCTGCTGATCATCCTGTTGGTCACTACCTCAGGTATTATGCCTGCCTCTCGGTCAAACTCTTTATCATCATCATCATCTTCTTCTTCCTCATCTTTGTCATTACCGCTCTTTGACTTCTTTGTCTTTTTATTTTTCTTAGGTGGGGGTCCAAAGCCTCTTGGGCTATTCAGGGCGGCGGCATAAAGGGGTGCAAATTCTAGCGATCGAATTTGATTTTGGGTGTGTTTTGTGGGGATAACTGGGAATTGGCAAATTTTTATGCTGGAAGAAACTAAGGACGGTGGTTTTGAGGCTGGCATTCCCATAAATGAAGAGAATTCCATGGTGTTTCCAGCTCGAAGGCATTCATTTATCAGTACATGTCTTTCCAACTGGCTGGTGATGGAGAATGTCCTAACTTTACATACCAAAGTCGATTTTTCATTACCATGGTCAATCTGCAAAAGCATATGCCATTTATATATCAGACTGATTACTAATATCAAAATCGACAGATATTTGGCAAACCAATAACTTTGCAGGACAGATGAAATTTAATGATTGTTCACCATTAAAAAAAATCAATGATAAACTGCTTTGAACTGTACGTATTCTGTTGGCAACAAAGATACTCAACCAGAATATTTAAGAAATGAACCTAAATCCAATTTGTTATTCGTACAAATAGCTCATGCATATAAGTTTTATTTAGAGAAACATCTGCTTGGAAGGTCCTATGATATGTGATAAGCTTTATGACATTGTTTCATTTAAGTTTCCTTTAACCTGATAACACGGATATTTACATATTCAATAAACCAATTGTGACAAGGGATGACCAAAAGCTTTAGAATTGAATATATCTTTTCAGGGAAAACGTTGGGCATCACTGTAATCTAAATTAGAGAAAAGGAAAAAGAAAAATGAAAAGAATAGCACCGAAAATCAGATTTTTAAGAAGGAAATAAGACGAAGCACAACAGATTTATGAATGAATAAATGAAAATACAACCCAACTCCAGACTCAAACCAAGATGAATAAAAAGGTTTAGATAAAAGAGAGCCATTTTCGTGATTAAAACACATAATTAACAAGGTTTTAAGCGTTCATTGACAGCAAACATACCTTGTAAGGGCAGGATAAAGATGACAGTGCCACAGCTGCCATTCACTTCAGCTACTTCACTTCTCCCAGTCCCTCTTGAGTTCGTCCGGATAGGAAACCAGAACCGAGAATTCAAACTACTACTGAACCCTATTAAGTTAAAGCTGTTGCTGAGTTCAGAAGCCGAACTATAGTTGCCCCACAGAATCCCGTTCACAAACTCTACTTACCACTTACCAGTCAGACAGAGAAGAAGCGATAAGGTCACGTACTTCGTCACTCGTTATTTCTGCTTTTCTTTCCCCTTTTGGGCTAGAATCGTACATGTGCAACTTTCCATCGGATTGGTCATGGGCTTGGCCTTAAAATATCAAAACTACAAGCAGCCCACAAATTTTCATGAGATTTATTTCTGGCAAAGCAATTTATGATTCAATTTTGTAAATTTTGTAAACGTTTGCAGACTCGGATAAAGAGCATGTACAGTAGCACATCTGTCAAAAGGTTACGTTTTCTGTTTTGGACTTTAGTGAGGCATACCTGGAAAAAAAAAGATGAAGCCTTGAGCTTAAATGTTGAACAATAATTAACTAGTAGTTGACGCGGAACCATCTGAGCATAAAAAAATAACATGAATAAACATAAAAGATGTATTTCATTGAGATCTATCTATGGTGTGATCAAATGTCCAGGTAGAAATTGTTCATGGAATCTGCGCAGAGTTACAATGTCGAAAAGGCATTATTGGAAGTTAAATACTCTATCGTCAAATCATAATTGTTAGCAAAGATAATAGATTTATGGGAAGTTAAATTTTGAATTAGAGAATTAATTAAATATTTAAAAGCGGTAAATCTTGGTTTTTCTCGTCGCAATGAAACTAAAAAATCAGAAAAAAAACTATTCTGTTGTTATACGGAGAATACTATACATGTAGTATTTAAGTTTAGATTTATAAATAAAATTGAATACTCAAATCTGTTCAATTTATATATCTTATAAATTAATTTATTTCAAGTGTACTCTTTGAGCATGTGTATATCAAATTAAAATTTGTAAACATATCCCAATGAAATCCATCTTTCTTTGAGGTAGTGATAAAGTTGGAAATTATATTTTGAGAGATGAAATGAAAGAGAGTGAGTGAGAATAGAGGCCAAAGTATTATTGATCTACAATATTATTCAAACACTTTTTAACTATTTTTCATTCGTGCCATTCAATAATTGATGGTAACCATATATGTTGCATAAATGCCCAAGATTAATATAAGTTGTTATTTATTACTTTTGTTTAAATTATATAAATAAAAATATTACCAGAAAAAATTATTTTAAAAAATCTTTAGGGATCTTTGGTTGATACTCGAAGTTAAAAAAAAAAAATCATGCCATATATCACCGAAAGATGACTTCATTTAACCATGATTGTTAGAAATTAACAATATCATGACTTGGGATACATATCACGTACACTTTTTTTTCCTACAATTAGAAAACGGTAAATGGTTTGAACAATAAACCTGAAAATTAATGATATCATGACTAAATTTGATAATGTTTATCTAAAGTTTTAATTAGAAAACCTATAATGAGCAATTAAAGTAAAGTTTTAATTAGATATAACTTTAACTCCCTCTAATGTGCAATTATGGAGTTGGATTTTGCTAAACAAATATATATACTTATCTTTATAGAAAATTTAGGTTTTTTTTTTTTCCCAAATTTGATTTTAAGATAAAATTTAATTAGAGGATAAACTTAGAAAATTTGATTTTGAATGAATCATGGTTGTTAAAATTTAGATATTTGAAGATTTTTCGCTTATTAGGATTCAGGACACCCTATATATATTATAATTCTTTAACCACAAAATCAAAATCATTTTCAGCTTCAATTTGCAAAGATGTGGAATACTTGCATTCTTGTTGCTGCTTTAACTTTTCTACTGTTATGCACAAGCTTGGCAATACAGGTTGATTATGATTCCAATGCCATGATCATCGATGGACAACGAAAGCTTATCTTTTCTGGTTCAATTCATTACCCACGTAGCACCCCAGAGGTATTTTTGTTTTCTGTTTACTGAATCCCATCAATGCTTTGATCTTAATTACACCATCGACTTCCAACTTTTATATTGAAGATTTATTTACATGAAATTATTGTTTTGTTCACTCTACAGATGTGGCCAGACCTCATACAGAAATCTAAAGATGGTGGTCTTGATGCAATCGATACATATATCTTCTGGAACGTTCATGAGCCTCGCCGCCGTCAAGTGATAATTTGTTCATATACTCCTGTATTTGTAAATAATCAGGCACTAATCTTCCAATGCTAACTTGTTTTTCACCCTTAAAAACAGTATAATTTCGAGGGAAATCTGGACTTCATAAAGTTTTTCAAGCTAGTTCAACAAGCTGGACTATACGGAATCTTGAGAATAGGCCCTTACGTCTGTGCTGAATGGAATTATGGGTAAGTCATTTTCTTCTTCAACTGATAAATTGCAACATTCTTTTCCCTGTAGAAGAATGAAAAAATTTTCCCTCTTTTGGTATTAATATTCTTTATACTGTGTGCAGGGGCTTCCCTGTGTGGCTACACAATATTAACGGAATTGAATTTAGGACAGATAACGAAATATTCAAGGTTAGGTCCCAAGATTTAGTAGTGATTTTTATTCACTCTCTAGTCTCTATATCTAAAAGAAGAAGAAAATTCAGAACATCTGATTTTCAACCACTTTTATCTTTCAAATGCAGAAAGAAATGCAAATTTTCACGACCAAGATTGTTGACATGTGCAAAGAAGCAAAACTGTTTGCCTCACAAGGAGGACCCATCATTTTAGCACAGGTAAATTTGATCTCATTCTTATTTGTATCTGTAAGTGTTGCCATTGATATTAATTTTGAGCTCTTCTAACGAAGTTGGACGTTCTTTTTTTCTATTACGATAGATTGAGAACGAGTATGGAAATATTATGTGGGCTTATAAAGATGCAGGGAAAGCATACGTCAAATGGTGTGTGGAGATGGCTTTAGCTCAGAATATTGGAGTCCCTTGGATTATGTGCCAGCAGGATGATGCTCCACCGCCCATTGTATTCATTTTTGCTCTTTTTTTCTGTTCTTTTTAATCCTTTTTAATTAATTTCAAAATGGTGAGTGTTGTTTTCTCGTACAGATTAACACATGCAATGGGTATTACTGTGATTCGTTTACTCCAAACAATACCAAGAGCCCCAAAATGTTTACTGAAAACTGGAGTGGATGGTATTTAATTATCTTGATTTCCTTTTTTTATTTCCTTTTTTTGTTGTTTCTTTCCATTTTCTGGTTAAACTCCATCTATTCTCAATTCATTATGTGGAGCCTTGAACTTCAATTTTCCATTTTAGGTTCAAGAAATGGGGCCAGAAAGACCCTCACAGAACTGCAGAAGATTTAGCCTATTCAGTTGCTCGCTTTTACCAAGCCGGTGGAGTGTTGAATAACTATTATATGGTTTGGACCTATTCCTTTGTTGAACTTTCCCCATTCTTTTCAGTCAAGTGAATTGTGATGTCTGCTTCTTCTTTACTCCTATATATCGTTTTATCAAATACACAGTACCATGGAGGAACAAACTTTGGACGCACATCTGGAGGGCCATTCATTACAACATCATATGATTATGATGCTCCCCTCGATGAATTCGGTAAGTATAGAACAATTTTCCAGGTCCAAATAAAAAGAAAAAAACCTGTCTAATGGAAATTCATGGTGATACTCCAACTTAGTTTCGTTTAGCTTTAACAAATAAATTGTTCATATTAGTTTCATCAAGTCACCAAACAAGTCTATCTTTTTTCAGGAAACTTAAACCAGCCAAAATGGGGACATCTTAAACAACTTCACGCGGCTATTAAATTGGGGGAGAAGCTTCTCACTAGTGGCAAAGCAATGACAAAGGTTTACGGTAATGGAATTCATGTAAGTGATAGAACTTTCATGAAATGCTTGACCATGTATATTCATAGCAAAATGAAATTGGCTGATTTGAATTCAACTTCTCGCCAGTTGACCACATATAGGAACGATGAAACTGGGGAGAGATTCTGTTTCTTGAGTAATAACCAAACAGAAGAGGCAAATGTTGACTTGCAACAAGATGGCAAGTTCGTTATTCCGGCTTGGTCTGTTAGTATTCTTGGTGGCTGCAAGAAGGAGATTTACAACACTGCAAAGGTAAAATCACCAGGTTATCATTTTCATGTTTATTTCTCTTCAAATGGCCACGAAATTTGCTGCTTAGGCTCTTTTTCTTTTTTTTTTTTTTTAAATTTGTCCACAGGTTAACACACAGACCTCTATAATGGTAAAAAAACAAATGGATAATGAAGACGAAGCTGCTAAATTATCCTGGGTGTGGACTCCCGAATTCACGAAAGATACCCTCCATGGTAAAGGTAGATTTAGAGCTAGGCAGCTTATTGAACAAAAAAGAGCTACTTCTGATGTTAGCGACTACTTGTGGTACACGACTAGGTAATCTCCAAGGCACGTTGTTGTGCTTTATGGTGATTCAGTCTGTTAGGAATGGAATACATCCCAATTTGTTTTGTTGTTGTTATTCATTTAACACAGTGTTGACATTAATGGAACAACCTGGAACAATGCGACGCTGTTTGCAAATTCATCTGGGCAAGTCCTTCATGCATATGTGAATGGGAAGCTTATAGGTAACTTCTTACCATCCAAGGCAAATAAATATTTTCTAGTGTTCAAATGATAATCAGAATTCATTTAATTTGTTTAAGCTTTTTACAGGCTCTCAATCAGGATACAAATTTCAGTTCCAAAACCCAGTTTCATTAATACCTGGCAGAAACATTTTAACTTTCCTCAGTGTCACAGTTGGGCTACAGGTAGGCAGCCTAATATGGTAGAGGCATGATTAACATGAAATTTTCACTAGTCTGCATTAATTGTATGATTCATAACTTAACATTTGTGTAAGCTACCGATTTTAAAGACTGAGCTATGCTAATTGCACTCTATTTTTTATTCTTACCATAACCGGGGCAGAACTATGGAGAATTTTTTGATTTGGGACCAGAAGGAATAGCAGGAGGTCCAGTTCGATTGACTGACAACAAGAATGCTACTACTATAGACTTGTCATCATTTACTTGGAATTATAAGGTGTTTCTCGAAAGTAGAAGAATTATAATACCTCAATTACACAGCATTCTATACAAACTATGATTGAAACTCTCTCTTTTTTTTTTTTACTTGGATAAAGATTGGGTTGAATGGTGAAGCCAAACGACTTCATGATCCAAAAGCTCCTCATGCTCGACTATGGAGGACCTCAGCAGAACTTCCCATTGGCAGGCCTATGACTTGGTACAAGGTATTTAATGATTCACATTAGAACTTCCGTTTCGTGTTGAATTAATAATCTGATAAGTGATATGATACCAATTTTGGTTTTTGCCGAAATAGAAAAGGAGATCTATAATTCAAACTTCCTTTGAATTGTTTTGTTGTTTAGACCACTTTCAAAGCTCCGTCAGGAACAGACCCTGTAGTGGTGGATTTACAGGGCATGGGCAAGGGGCATGCCTGGATAAATGGAAACAGCATTGGCCGCTTCTGGCCTGCAGAAATTACTGATAGTAATGGCTGCGATGGCGAATGCGATTATCGTGGGAAATACAAAGACAATAAATGTTTGTCAAACTGTGGCAATCCTTCACAAAGATGGTATAATGCCATCATTCATGTATCAGTGGATTAGCAAATAATAAAGCCCAAAGCGTAAAACTAAATACGTAAAATTTGTATCAGGTACCATGTTCCGAGATCATTCCTTGCTAGTGACAGCAACACGTTGATTTTGTTTGAGGAAATTGGTGGAAATCTTTCACAAGTGTCTTTCCAGACCGTAACTGTGGGTTCAATTTGTGCAAATGCAAATGAAGGCAACGCATTGGAACTATCATGCCAAGGAGGCCAAACCATCTCTCGTATTAAATTCGCCAGCTTTGGTGATCCTCAGGGAAAATGTGGCTCATTGCAAAAAGGCACTTGTGAGGCAGATGTAAGCCTGTCTGCTGTGGAAAAGGTAATTAAGACAGTTTTCTTGGCATCAAGATTCTTATTATATATATTTCCATATTCAAATAAATAAAGTAAATAAATATACTCCTGTCTTGCAGGCGTGTGTTGGGAAGGAGAGTTGTGCAATTGATGTCTCAGAAGCAACATTTGGATCATCAAAGTGTGGCAACATTACAAAGAAGTTAGCTGTGGAAGCCATTTGCTAGAATGAACTGTTCTACCAGAGAAATAAAAGAAAAAGTTGTATTTTATGAAAAACTAACTGCTTCTTAATTATTTAAGAAAGCAGAAGCAATCTAGAAATCATTTATTTTCCTGTTCTTGTATGATTTGTATTACGAGTTCATTTTCCATAAAAGCAAGTAGTTGGCAAAATTGTGTCAAAAAGCTGCCATTCCCAAATCACTCAAATTTAATTTTCACTGTGTCGTCGTCTACCAGATAAAGGAGTGGTAGCAGGAAACCAATAATTGACGGAATTGTCCCAAGCCTTTAGCCTAGAGTTAAAGGCCATTGAGGGGACATTAAAGGCTTAGTTTTGATTCTTTGGAACCAAGCTTTCCCCTCCCCCCTTCATTATACTAGGGCTTTGCCCTCCGATAAACAAAATAATAATAATAATAATTAATGGGATTAGTAGGGAATATTACAGTTTAGCTGTAGAAAGAGTTGGTATTCAGTAGATCGTCTTCTTTAGCTCAATTCAAGTAGTAGTTTTTGGCAACCGACTTCTGATTAAATGGTCTGTCAAAAGAATTACAAATCAGAACGTGGTAGTTATCATTTACCTCAAATCAAGTTGTATAAATCTCCATGTACTCTGTTGGACCATGTTTGCTCATTTCTCCAAGGCTATATTATATCTGGACAAAAGCACAATTAATAACATCCAATATGACAAAAAATGCCAAGGCTTCACTGTGTTGTGCTTATAAATCTTAGACCCTTTAGGGTCCCAATCTCGACTCAAACTCAATTAAAGAGCTGTCCAAAATTTTGTTCACCAACACGTTATTTCTCTTTCTTGTTTATGGGATGGGTCCGATGGATGGATTTTGGGGTTTCCGCCCCTTGAAAAGGCCGCTCTTCACTCTTTATTTTCGCCCGTTAAAATTGGATAATTCTTTTACATCGGCCTAAAAAACTAGGCCGACACCTTTCCTTCCAGGATTCCAAATTCCGAAAGACCCCCGGCCCTTTTTTTTGGTTTAAAACAAAATACAAAAAGCTCTATGGTTCTAATTATTTTGTGTAATATTTATTCGTACACTAATTATTTTTACTACTCAAAAATTACGTGAAGAATAGCTGATGCGAGGAATAATAATTTTCCAAAACAAAAAGGATAAGGGAAAGGTAAACAGAGAAAAGAGGCTTTTTTTCAGGTCTCCTGCTGAAGAGAGAAAAAATCAAAGTCTCTCTCTCTCTCTCTCTCTCTCTCTCTCTCTCTCTCTCTCTCTCTAACTATGAGCCTCTTCGGTCTGGGCAGGTGAGAGTGATAACTTCAGCTCTTTTTTTTTTTTTTAATTTCTCTTAAACGCTTTAATTCGTTTCCTATCAATTACTCTTCTTTTCTTTAACTTTATTTTTCATATTTGCAATGTTGAGTTGATAAATTATGTCAAATCTGTTATAATTCTGTAGCCTTTTTCCGATTCAAGATCAGCAATGAACTCTTCTTTTTGTCTTCATTAACTTTAATTAAATTCTTAAAATCTGTTATCTATCTTCCTATTTTTCCTCCCTGCAATCCAATTGCTTTGTTAGGCTATGGTTAAGCTAAATTCTTAAAGCTTTTTGTTGTTAAAACAGTCCAATCATGTTGATCATCAATTATGGTTTTTGCATATATGTTAATAAAATTGAAGTCTATATATTTACGATAGTGACTCTTAATGCATGTTGAACTTGTCTTGATGTTCTGTTTGCTTATAATTAGAAAGGTCCAAAAGGTGAACATAGTTTAAATTATTGATTTTTTTTACCTTAAAGTAGATGGCTTTAAGCTTTGCTTCATGAAGATGAATTTATGGAGTGAGTAGCCAACTTCATCTGTTGACAATTTGCTGCCACTGTTAGAAGACTAATGGTGGCCGACTGAAGTCCAGAAAATTGAATTAACAAGAACAAACGTAAAAGGAATGTACAAATGTAGTCTAAGGAAAGCTAATTAATTTGCCTAAAATCAATTTATTAATCAGGTTCAAAGGATGCTGGAGATCCTCCATAGTTTTCAGTAAGATATGAGCTCTGGCTTTCTATCTTGCTCTCTGTCAAGCCCTATGTATCCATGTATGTGTGACCAGTTTGTTCACTATGTCAAGAAGTTTTTTTTTTTAAATCATGCATGAATTGAGTTCCTCTAAACTATGTTACCTTGAATCTTTATCCTAATGTACCTTGCTGTACAAATATGAAATGCATTGGATGTAGATGAGCTTTGTGTATGATCCTCCTAATATATGGAACAAGTTGTTAAAATTTTAACCAATCCATGTTGCATGTGGGTATATTTCTGAGACCTACTCCCAAGTCTGATCAGCATAGCTGGTAAATATTTGTGTATCTTTTCAGTTGATGCATGTCCCTGATAATAAATTGCTCTGAAAACAGAAATCAGCGAACATTCCGCCCGAAAAAAAGTGCACCTTCAGGAAGTAAGGTTGGTTACTTTTGTTCCCTCTTTTGTCTTTAATAGAAAACATAAATAATATTGTTCATCTCCTGCTTGTTAGAATTTGATGTGATAGGCTCTCTTTACCTGTGCTTGAATTGTTTTGATTATTATTGTAACCTTCCCAATTTTCCCATTGGGAAATAATTTTTTTTCCTCTTTTCGATGACTAAGAAGTTCTTGGGTGTGAGCATGCGTTTTTAGCACACTGGAAGTATTCTAGAAAGTGTCCAGAAGTAGAAACAAAATAAAAGCAAGCATAACATAACACCTAATATCTAATGCATCCAAAAATCCTAAAAAAAGCCCTGGAAAGTTGTCTTTGAAAAAAATAAACTCCTGAATCCTTGATTGAATGCCTTTTGCTGATTCTTCTACTTCTTGGTTTTTCATCCACTTAAATGGTTGCCTTTATTTCTGAACCTTGTTATTTTTCTCTTTCTAAAGTAAGAATTCACTTCACCAAACCTATCAAGAAAAGAAGAAAAAAAGCTCACTTTATCATTAATATTTTTATTTAATAAATTTTGTTGCTTTTGAAGTCATGTCTTAAATAATAACTTTACGTTACGGAATTTTACTTAAATTTTCAGTGGCATTGAAATCTACAAATTTCAATGCTCTACTGACATGCATGACGATCATACAGCCCCACCTGTGGGACCCACCCATGGATGTTAGAAGGCGTTCTGTACACGTACTACATGTGATAATTCTTTTACTAAATGGAAATCTATGTCTAAACATGGTTAGTACTACTGTGTGGTTGAGCTTGACAATAATTGAATAGCCTTTTTGTGCTTTCTCTCCAGTTCTTGTGAGCTGGCTTCTTTACAGTGTCTTTATATAAAATGTTTTCTGGACTTCATTCTGCTATGTTAGTGGCTTAGAAGAATTTGCAGTTCTCATCCCAGTATTGTAATCTTGACATAATGCAGGGTGCACAGCTTAAAAAGCACATTGATGCCACTCTGGGCAGTGGGAACCTAAGGGAAGCAGTAAGGCTACCTCCTGGGGAGGATTTAAATGAATGGCTTGCAGTCAACAGTACCTCTCGCTCGCTCTCTTTCTTTCTTACTCACATACACTCGGCACACACCTACGCAAACATTCTGTATTAATCCTTCTATATATTTGTGAAACTGTTTATATAACTTATCCATGAATATTCTACTTTAGTATGGCCATGCTGTTTACTTACTGGTATAACTGCTACTTTATTTATATTCCATTCATTAGCTGATTTTTTTTAGAGTGTTTTAGTATGTTTTCTTCCCTATTTCCAGGTTATTGCCAAATTTTCTTTGAATCTCATTGCTAAAGTGTAATTGTTGAATCTTTTTCAGCTGTGGATTTCTTCAACCAGGTGAATTTGCTCTATGGTACCCTCACAGAGTTTTGTACTCCTGAGAACTGTCCTACAATGACTGCAGGCCCTAAGTATGACATATCAAACCAGATCCCTTTTCCCTTTTCAATAAATTAGTTATACAAATCCTAAATTTTAATATTTCAGCATGCCATATAACCTGTTATGTTTGGATAACCTGGTATCAAAAGTATTTCTCTCAAATGATGGATCATTAAGTTTATATGGATATCAGGAACCTTGACTTAAATTTAGATCTTTAACTCTTTGAAACAGACACATAACTGCATTGCTTTATTTTTGCTACAAAAATAGATATATAGCTTGCTAATGCTATTGAATTATGAAGTCAAGCTATTTAATATAATCTTGTCTGATAAGTGGGACGAGAGTGAGACTATGCATCATTTTTTCATAGATTTGATTAGTATGTGGTGAGATTTTTATTTTTATTATTATTAATTCACCTTAGCCTTTTGTAATAATTTAAATTTGCCTTACTTTTTCAAAGGTCTGTAGAAGACTTCGAATCTGTTGTAGCCAGAATTGATCTAAGAGTCAAAGTCCTTGTAGTCATTTGATTCTGTCAAATAATTAGAACTTGTGCAGAATGTAACTATGAAAATTGGATCATCTTCCTTCCCAAATTACTGTAAATTTTTTGTTTTCAAGATTGGTTCTTGTACCTTTTGCTGCCTTATCAATCAATTTAATCATTCCATACTTATGTGTATGCACCCTAATTTAGTCTACTCATTTTTAAATATCTTTCAAAGTATATATCTTGGGTTTTCTGGAGTTGATGATTTGCTGTCTTACAAAACTTTACAGGTATGAATATAGATGGGCAGATGGTGTGCAAATCAAAAAACCTATTGAGGTTTCTGCTCCAAAATACGTTGAATATCTAATGGAATGGATTGAAGCACAGCTTGATGATGAATCCATATTTCCTCAAAAGCTTGGTAAAATCTTCATAAGTCATGTGCTTAATCATCTTAATTCTTTGTGATGAAGTCTGACATATTGTCATCTAGAGAAAGATAGTTATTTATCTACGTATGATAGCATCAATTGATGATTAACTTTTTCTAATATTTATACTTGTCCAAAAAAGAAACGAAATTATTATGTCTTGTATCTATGCTAAATACTTTCCTATATTTAATTGCATATTTCAAATTTGCTAGGTGCACCATTTCCTTCCAACTTCAAGGAAGTGGTGAAGACAATATTCAAAAGATTGTTCCGTGTATACGCCCACATCTATCACTCTCACTTTCAGAAAATTGTGAGCCTTAAGGAGGAAGCCCATTTGAACACATGCTTCAAGCATTTCATACTGTTTACTTGTGTATGTCTTCTTCTGCTTGATAATTATTTTTTTTTTATTCGCTGTCCTCTTGTTCAGGGGAAACCTCTGCCACTATTTTTCTATTTATACAAATGTCAATAAAACCCAGTAGTTTATCTACTAGTACTACTAAATAACAGTAGTTGTGTTGCATAGTTCAAATTTGCTGCAATATGGTTAGTTTTACTCATTCATTAAACCTTTCTCCTTTTTTTCACGAGTAGTATTCAAAGTTTCCTTTATCTAGGGATGCTCTTATCTATAGAATTTGCTTGTTTTGCTTTGTGCATAATCTGATAAACCAAATTCAAAGGTGAAAGGGGAAAAGAGGGAAGAGAAAGAAGAGGATAGGGAGGGTGGAAGCAATTCCCTTAAACTACGGGAGAATAGCTTAAAGATGTTTGATGCAACTTCTAGAACAACTAGGAGACGGTTTTTTTAAACCACAAAGGGTATAAGTGTAAGCTTGCCATTATTTTTTTTTTCTAGCAGACATGGTTTCTTGTCACATGTATCATGGTTTTCACAAAAGAACCTGTTATAGTCACAAAGCCCAGAATATGGTTTTAGTTGTGAAATGAGAGAGGCTAATTTTTTTTTTTTTTTTTCATTTTGTTCTTTCTTAAGTACCAAGAGGGGGTAGTACGGCTCAAATTTAGGATATTTACCCCAGACCTCACCTACTAACTACCGGAGTTAAGTGAAGGTGGTAAGGGTTGAAATGTTTCGTTAAATCTCTGAAACATGCTTTCTACAATGCAAGAATGCTTAGTTAACTGGTAAGTTGTGAGGTTAATTGAGTTTGTTGTTGTGTTGCATGTGCAGGAATTTGGGCTGATTGACAAGAAAGAGCTGGCTCCACTTCAAGAGCTCATAGAATCCATCATAGTCCCCTACTGAGTATATAATATAGGGTTGGAGGTCCTGAGAAAGATTTTTATTTTAGGGATGCAAAAGTAAGACTGTTTTAGTATTTGACATATAAAGTTCTCTATTTCTCTATGTTCTCAAACATTGCAGGGATTAACATTGTTTTTCTTTCTTTTTGGATGCATAGATCAAGCAATTGCAAAAAGCGAGTAGCTTTTCCTGAAAGTAATGAAAGCCTTAATTTCCATCTAGTCGTTGCCATTTTTGTTATTTGTGCTTATAGTTTGATGAATGGGTTTTTTCTTTTTTCTAAAAGATTATACTATCCAATTGTTTTTGCGTGGTCTTTGGTACTATTACTTTTTATAAATTAAAAATGATATTAATGCTAGTATTACAGATAAGAAAAGTAGTATTCTATTTCAAAGTTGTTTTCATAATATATTTTTGGTTTAGAAAATTAGAGAAACACTGAAAATTGCTGCTGGGTTTTTATCTTTGTGTTGCCATTATTGAATGAATCTCTTTCAAATTAATCATAGAAGAAGAGGAAGAACCTTTCTACTAATTCCAAGGAAGATAATAATGGTAGTAATCTCTAACAGAAAAGCATGACCATGAGCTCTCTATACGACTTACTATAAGCACTTTTTTAGACAATCCATAATTGGGAAAGGGGGGACAGGATTTGATTTGAGAACAATAGTGGCGCCAATCACCATTGGCAAAGGGAATTACGATGACCAGATCACTAGGCCGAATGCTTGTGGTCGAAGAGGATGGTAGCTGGGCTAACCATCTCGGACAAAAGTCGAGAATGAGATAGCAAGGAAAGTTAACCATAGCCAGAATGAAAACAAGAATATTGAATTCAGATGTAGTTGATTTTTGTCTTTGTAGATCACATCATTATTCCTGTTGATTCTGATGAACTGATTTGATATGAATGCCTGTGGTCGCTAAGTTACATGTAAAACCGAGTACTTCTCGAACAATGTAAAGTCAAGTCCTTCCAATCAATCATGTTTACCCCCCCCCCCCCCCCCGGAATAAATATGGACCGTAAACCTGTGAAATAGCAGAGAAGTACTCCTGTCATTATAAACAGCAGAAGCATATGAAGATTTTGCAATGGCATTTTTAAAATGCATTAACTTTAGAGAAAGACAAGATTGTCCATTTTCCTTTCTACTTAGAAGTGGCTCTTTTTTATTTCAACCAATACCAGCTAAAGGTAGTACCTTCAACGGAAATGCATTGAAAGAGAATGAACAATATGATCAAAATTAATTTAAATTCAGAGTTTAGACTGCATGCCCTGATTCAATCTCATTCTTATCTATCCTCATCTGAATTCATGGTTCCAAGATCAGAATTCCCGTATCTGGAAGCAGCAAAACCATATGATCCCAAAACAGCAACAAGGACACCCAGTACCAGAGAGAAGAGCTGGAAGTTAGCAAGCAACTCGCCTCGAACCTCACTATCTGCTGGATAGCAATAGATTGCATTTCCCTTGAGCCGACAACCATCTGGCATCACGGGGCCATAGAGGGTGAAAGCATTCTGATAGAACCAGAGGCCTTGGAGAGTTATAGCAATTCCACTACACAAATCAACTGGGAAGCTGTGTGGCAAGAGAGCTCCACCAACAGTGGTCAAAATGCAAAGTCCTATTAGAAGGACAAGCACAAGATGGTAGTACCCCCGAGGCCATTGTGAGTGGTTGAGTGAAAGTAGAATAGCAGATACTCTGCACAGAATGCTGTGGCCGCAATAAGAGAAAGGGCTCCTTGTGGTGTGGAAAGAAAACTGAACAAGAATAGATTCCAACGAAGATGGTTGTAAAGTTAGCTATATTTGACAATAAATGGCAGAATATCAATATTTGCATGATCAATTCCAAATGGTTAAGTGGAAGTTAGAAATGACAAAGTATTTATTTATGAGATAGAATAAACATTTTGTAATCAAATAACCATGATTTCAGACATAAAGAAATTATAATACTGACTTTTCATGATAAGAATGAAATTTACTTTTGATGCACTAGACATGCATTCATTCCCCAAAATTAAAAAGGAAAAAGGAAGACACAAAATCAACTGTCTATGCAAAATCTGCTGCTTATAGAACCTTTATAACTTCCACCGTCCATTCCCCTATGGCTTTATGCCTCTTATGGAATCATTACCATCTGATTACATTCTTTCACAGTCAGAAAGCAGCAACTCCACGTGGTTAGAACTCTGCAATTATGACTTGATAAACAGTCTTGCCTTTCAAAACATTACTGATTTATCAAGTAAACCAGGGCAGAGACTGCCTAGTTCACATCAAATGTTCCGTCAAAACTCAAAAGCATGCTATAGAAAACTAGGGTTTTCTTTCTTTTTTAAATTCTATTCACTATATAGGAAAAGCAGAAACGTTCTCATAAATGCATTTTGCCATTACTGTGGTGCTAATCAGAAGCCAAACTCAAGAAGAAAATCAAAATGATGTGAACTATACTCATGTAAACCAGAAAATTCATCTTTGCTCAGCCCACAGCCCCTGAAAAATAAGACAGATGTCATGCATAGAAGCATTTGAATGTTAAAATCAATAATGCTTTAATCTAAAACTAGCGAAAATTAATCCTAATATACTACAAAAGCGAAAATTAAATACTATAAATGAGATTTTTATCTTCACATATCATTTTTTTTTATTAATCCTAATATACTAAAGCTGAGCTGGCTTTAAATTAAAAACACATGATAACTTTTATATTTTTGTATAAATGTGAATGTAGCATGAAAATACGTGAATTTTATATTAATTTTAATATTAAAATAATATTGACGTTTTCATATTTATATATTATGGAGAAAATAATTATTTGCTATTTAAAAAATAATGAAAATATCCATCATTTCAAGTTAATATTTACAATGCAGGTTCAAATAAATTTATTATTAGGATTTATTTTTTTGCCAATGGTTATTATTTATTCAAAACATTTTTTTTGAATTAATTTTTATTTATTTTCTTACTCAATTTAAAATCATTAAATTTTAATTATAAATGAATTTTATATCTTAGAATTAAATAATGAATATTTTTATTACTTTTTAAATAATAAAAATAATCCTTGCCCAGTTTATTATCCTATATTCAACTACCATTTATATACCTTTATTACTCCGATTTCAGTCATGGTTGACTATTTATAGAGTCCTGTCTTTATTTGTATCAGTATTAAAGTAATTTATGTATACAATAATACAATCTTTATTTATCCTTTTTTACACAATCATCACTGTATTCCTCTAAGATATATTTACTGTTTAATCTATAATTTGTTGAAAGTTGTAAATTATCAAATTCCAAAAAGTTGTTAATATTTTTTGGGAAAAAGGAAATAACAGTAAAATTGAAAAAAAAAATCGAAAGAAGAAGAAAATCTTTATAGAAAATGACATGTTTAGACGTTCTAGGGTAACGTGCCCGTGATTAATCATTGTGTACAAACAATTTTATATGCTGACACTGAAAGATCCCAAGACGCAGAAGGATATTTACGTAATCTCATGCTTAGCAGCTAGGACTTCCTTGAAATTAACCTATTTACCAGGGGCCACAACATTTCCTTTTTGTCAAACCAACAATCATATTCTCAGATCCAGCCCGGAAAGTAAACGTTGAAGTCAGCCCCCCTATTTCAAATTTGGCAAAGCGTCAGCGGTTCTAAAGATACTTCATTCCCCACTCACCCAATCATAATCATCCACGTGACATTGTCCTCGTCTGCCCTCCGCTTTTTTCGCACTGACGTGGGATCTCTCAAATCCCGTCCGTTGGAATCTTTCCTCAATTGCCCTGCAGCCTTACCACTCCTCCCCTCCTACTTGCGTCGTCGTATTTCCCAAGGCGCATCTCCAATAACCGCCACCGTCGCCCGCTTAGATATCTATCTCCCTAGATTTCCCATTTTCCAAAATTATTGACGAAATAAAATAATATTCTTTTTATTTTTTTCTGCCACTTTTACTTATATTATATAAATAATAATTAAAAATCCGTCTCTCTCTATAAAATTCCGTTTTTCCACTGTAAACTTCACTTGATCCTGCTTTTTCTTGTCTCTTTCTCTTTTGTTTTTCTTTTCTTAAGTTTACTACTTTTTATTGCCGCTTTTTTTTTCTTATCTCTTCATTGTAATATACAAAATAAAATTTCGCTTTTGTGATTCTTGTTCACCGCAATGTGGAAATCAAATTCTTGGCACACTTCAAAAATAAAAAATGAAAATTAGGAATCATTGATTCGCCGGTTTGTAGACTTCGACGATAAAGTGAGAGACGATTAAAGATCAAATGACTTAGGCGGCAGTGATCTCGCGGAAGCAAAGATTGCCATCTAAGCTTCCGATTTTGCATAGTAAGTTGGAAATTCGGTTTTTGTTGGTGGATTTTGAGAGGGCAGAAATGTCGAAGGTGGTGTACGAAGGATGGATGGTGAGATATGGAAGAAGGAAGATCGGGCGATCCTTCATTCACATGCGATATTTCGTGCTCGAAAATCGGCTTCTGGCTTACTACAAGAGAAAGCCACAAGATAATCAGGTTTTTACTTACTTTTGTTTTAGTGTTCGTAATTTTCTGTAGGCATTGTTTAGGTTCTTAAATTAAACATGTTTTTGAAGTATTTTATAGTTTTTTTAAAGTTTAATTTTCCTTTATTTTTTAGGTCGGAGAAGAGAGGAAAGTTGTTTTTAGAATGTTAAATTAAGTGCAATTCGGTTTGATTTAATTTAATTTTTAGTAATGGAACTTGTACGGTTGATGCTGCTATGCTTTTAGTAAAAGCAGAAGCATCTTGTTGACAAAGGTGTCTGATATCTATGGATTCTTACTGTTTAGGAAAAAGAGAGCGGCATAATTTTTATTGTCAGTTTTTTGACTATTGGCTTTTGTGCTATGTGTTCATTTTATAACTAAATGCACGAACTGCTGTTAACAACTAGAAGTTTTTTTTTTTTTTTGCTTTTGTATGTGTGTGTTTTCTTAATTTAGGTCCCGATCAAGACCCTTTTGATAGACGGAAACTGTAGGGTGGAGGATCGAGGCTTGAAGACTCATCATGGACATGTGAGTTGTCGTCTGCTCGTGTGTATCTGTGTGTTTGCCTTTATACCATTTTAGCCTGTTGATGCTATAATGGTAATGACAAAGCAAAACGTTGTTGTTGGTCGCTGAGAGATGAGACCGTCCAACATCATATATACTTAGAATGATATACATCTATGTACGCATGTGTGTATACATATGCATTCTTGATCCTCAATCATCAATCGTATATACTTCATATATTCTGTCTCCCTTCCCCTTTCACTCTCTTTCTCTCATAGAGAGACTCGTGGACACTCTTGCTTATTATCTAACTTTGTGCATAACTGTTTATGAAATTCCGATACTGTTGGAATGTTCCAATAGCGGTTATACTCTAATTGCGCTATAACTTTATCCTTAAGATAGAACACTTATTTGTACTTCATTTAACTTACTCATGGTTTATTTTTGCAGATGGTTTATGTTTTGTCTGTTTACAGCAAGAAAGAGAAGTACCACAGAATCACGGTTTGTTGTTTTTATTTTATGGAAATAGCTTGTATTCTTTGATGCTTAATAACCTGAGCTTGGTTGGTTAGTTGTTTGAATAGAGAAACTGAAACATGTTTTTGGTTTTGCACTTGGTTTTATTATGTAGACACATCCTTGGATTCCACTTTGATTGCTCTTAATGGTTATGGTGTATTCCTAATTGAGTTAATCTCTTTATTATGGGGTTATAACTTGAATTTATCATAACATGGGACTGAAAAATGTTCATTGTGGAACTAGAGTGATATCTGTTTTCAGGGTGATACTATCCACTGTGTTTGTCTGCGGCTGTGCGAGCATAATTGACACATGTTTTGGATTTACTATTTGGCCTCTTTGATTAATGTGTTTCTTCTCACAATTCGTTGTGTCCTGTACATCCAGTTTCAAAATCTTATGCTTTTGAATATTGGGAACCTAAAATAAATCCATTTCTGCATTCTTCTTTCTAGATGGCAGCCTTCAACATCCAGGAGGCCTTAATCTGGAAGGAAAAAATTGAGTCTGTAATTGATCAGGTGCATCTCTGAGCCCGTAACTTAATTCCTGCTTTTTAGATTTGTGTTTTGAAGTTGATTCTCCCTTATCAACTTCTGTTGCAATGGGTTTAGGGTGAGAATTTTCTTAGTGAACTGAATACATTGTGTTTATATATTATGTTATACATATTGTGTTAATTGTCTAGTTACATTATTATCATATGCAGCATCAAGAGTCACAAATTGCAAATGGCAACAAATATGTTTCTTTTGAATATAAATCTGGGACGGATAGCAGGCGAACTGCTTCCTCATTGGACCATGAAAGTCAGTAAGTGCCTATTTGTCATTATTTTTCTATTTGCTGTTGGCTATGTGTGTTGATAAAAGTGAATGTGTTATGTTAGTCATGAGTCAGGTGGATGGTGGATGTTGGGCTGTGGGCTTAAGTCAAGCTACCTGGGTGCCTTGAATTCTTTTGGATCAAATCCTCATTCTAGAGAGTTATTGTCATAAATGAGCGGGGAAAGGTTAGAATAATCAAATGTGATAAAAGGAGGTCTTATGTTTTCTGGGATTTCATGCACATCTTACATCTTTCCAAGTGTTGCCACTTTTAAAATATAGCATACATGAATTATATAAATATTTCATGGTTGGAAAAGGAATTCATTTTCAATGTGAGCCCAAGCGGCCAAGCATTGTTTCTAATCTGTTGGTTATAGATGAATATCAAGTGATTTTCAATATCCTTGCATTATTGCTGGTTCAATGCATGGTTGCTCTTCTCCTTGTTTAGTGACTAACTGAACATAGCACAGTTCATTTGCTCCAGCTCCTATTCAAGACTGATTGTCAAATTAAAAAGAATTAAAATGCCCTGATTCTTATCAGTTGTTGGTATTTTCCCCAATTTTTTTGGCTATGGTAAGACAAGTGATCCTTGGTTGAACTTTAATTTCTTAATTATTTCTTAAGGTTCAGTGCCCTGGAGGACGAAGATGATGCTCATCCAAATTTGCTAAGGAGAAGGACAATGGGAAATGGTTCTCATTTGATTTCCATTTTAATTTACTTTACATTATTTTGTACAATTATCGGAATCTCAACATTTTTATAATAATGTCAGGTCTTCCAGATTCAGTATTTGACTGGACACGGGAATTTTACTCAGAATTATCAAATCAAAATGCCAACAACCAAGCATTTTCCGGAAAACATTGGCGCCTCCTTCAATGTCAAAATGGTTAGTTTTTCATTTATTATTCCATTTTATTGGCTTTAAAGTTCAATCCATGTATGAAAATCTCAAAAAATAGTTTGGAGTGGAAGGTTGTTTTAATTACCATAATACTGCAGGCATTGATGGATCATTCTGAATCCAAACCTTTCTTTGATATGACAGGACTTCGCATTTTTGAAGAGCTTCTTGAAGTTGATTACCTTGTCTGAAACTTTTTCTTTGCTTGCTTTAGGCCTTTTATTTATTTATCTTTTTCAGTGCATTAAAATGTTCTGGGTGTTAAACGTTGCTTATTTTTTCTTTATCTAGCCAAAGAGCTGTTGTAGGGCAATGAAGGCTGTGGGTGTCGTGGAAGCTACTTGTGAGGAAATATTTGGTCTTGTAATGAGCATGGATGGAACTCGGTTTGAGTAGGTGTTTTTGCAATTAAAAAAAATATATTTTAAGGTTTTTAAATGCATGCCTTTATGCGTCCATACTATTTGGGAGAATATGCTGAAAATTTATTTGCTTTAAATAATCTAGGAACTTTCCATATTTCATTTTCATCCTTTTTACCTTCTGCAGGTGGGATTGTAGTTTTCAGTATGGTAGTTTAGTTGAAGAGGTAGACGGGCATACAGCTATACTTTATCACAGGCTTCAGTTGGATTGGTTCCCTACGTAATAATTTCTCTCCAATTTAAATCATTTTCTTTTTATGCTTTCATTGTATTGAATATTTATCTTTGAAGCATTACCAGTATAGTTTTTGGTGTTTTGGGAACCAAAATTGCTAGGAAAGTACAAATCAGAGCTTCTAAACCCCCTTTTAGCCCATTTCTTTGATGCAAGACAAACTTTAATTTCTAACAATATAATGCCAAAACTGGATAGGTTAATCCTAGTATGCTGGATGAATGCTGGTAAGCACCAAAAGAAGGAATGATAAAAGATCAAACTTCACTGTATCAATAAAATGCAAGGAAAAGAAAAAGAAAACTGAGCAAGTGGAAACAGAAAAGAAAAGAACTAGAGAGGGAGAGAGATGAGTATGTGCTGGTGTCTTTACGAGAATCAAAGAATTGAATCTTTTGCATTCTGGTTGTTGCCCTCTAACTTTGCTATTTTACAGAAGTACTGGCTAGTAATCTGAAATGGGCTGTCAACAAGACTGGTGAAGGGTTGACGGTTTTTTCCTCTAAAATTTCTTCACCATAAACCTTTGTATGATACATTCACTATTTTTTTTTCTGATGACAAAGAAGGAACTTTTGAATTTTTACTTTACTGTTGTAGGAGTGAGCATACTGTTATTATTATCCAAGGTTTATTTATACTTTGATCACTTCATTGAGGATTATATATGTGATCTTATACTTGTAGAATGTTTCTAAAATTATGCACCGTTTTCAAAAGCAATCTTGTTTCTTCTTCCTTCATGAAGTATGGGCAATTTTTCAAATGCATGGCTCATGTTTTTGCAGGTTTATATGGCCCCGTGACCTTTGTTACGTGCGATATTGGCGTCGAAATGATGATGGAAGCTATGGTAAGTTCTTTGCAGATTTTTTTGTTTATTGAACTATATGCTTATTTTTCTATCTTCAGAAATATCTCCTTTTTTCTTCTTTTGTTTATTGTGCAGTTGTATTGTTCCGTTCTAGGGAGCATGAGAATTGTGGCCCACAACCAGGATACGTGCGGGCTCATGTTGAGAGTAAGCTCTATGTGAATCCCTTGGTTGTGCTGAGACTTGAAAGATGAATACTCAGTTTGTATTATAATGCATATTCTATACTGTAATTTGCTCAGGTGGAGGGTTCAACATTTCCCCTCTGAAATCTCGAAATGGGAAGCCGAGGACCCAGGTGCAGCATCTCATGCAGATTGATTTAAAAGGATGGGGAGTGGGTTATATTTCATCGTTTCAGCAACACTGTCTTCTTCATATGTTAAATAGTGTTGCTGGTGAGTTCTTTTTCTCTATTTCGCATGTTCAAATTTTGCAGTATTTTGGCAATTTGATATCACAGTGAAAGATAGGATGTTTTTAATGTTTCCATGGTTTACCGTAGTGTCATAAGGGATTTACTTGTCTATGTACCCTTCCATTCGATCTCTTAGGTCCTGCCTTACCTTACCTCGACGGTTATACCACGATGCCCTTAACTTAAAGCCTAAGCCTATATGCGATGTATAGACTCCTGCAACCATGACATATTTGTTTACTTGAACATAATTTCATTTCTTTCTAAAAGAACTAAAAGAAATGATAATGGCTTCTTGTTCTCACTATTTCAATCAACATATAGAAAAAAAAGTTCTTTTTTTTCTGATACCAGTGTGGTCTGCATCTCGACATCCGACTATTGTCCAAGAAAAGATTGAAGAAGAAAAAAAGAAACAATGGTGTGAGGGGACGTTAAGAAAACTTCCTCTTGTCTGTTGTTTGTTTCAATCTCTGTGCATCTACATTATTGAAAATTGTTGTTTACCTCTTACAACAGGACTACGTGAATGGTTTGCCCAAACAGATGAAAGGGGTGCTCCTCCTAGGATCCCAGTTATGGTCAATATGGCCTTAACTTCAGTTTCCTCAAAGAAGACTCAAAAGTCTGTTCCCCCTGCCCCTTCTGTTGATGAAATAAATGCAGCAAGCAGAAACTCTGTGATGATGGATGAATTCTCTGATGAGGATGAAGAACAAATGCCTGAAGCAGAACAAGAGGTTTTATCTTACCGTTATCTTTATGTATGTTTTTGTTTGACTTGTTTCTAACCATGAGTTTCTTATTTCCATACAATTTTCAGGGATATCCTACCAAAAGCGACAATGATGCCAAGAGAACATGTGGGTCATCATAGTGTTATATGTGATTGTTTTGATGTAATTGGATAAGATATTTACTTTATGGGACCGACTTCTCATCTCAAATATACAAATTTTTTTTCCTTTTTTTTTTTATGAATTAAAGCCCTGGAGGAAGAGCCATTTGAGAAAATTGATTTGTCATGCTTTTCTGGTAATCTACGACGTGATGACTGTGAAAATACTCGTGACTGTTGGAGAATATCCGATGGTAACAATTTCAGAGTTCGTAGCAAGCAGTTTTGTTGCAGCAAAACAAAGGTTCCCATTATTCTGCTTGTTTCTTTTAATTTCTTGTTTTTCCATCCAAATCAATATCTTATGTCTTTGTTTTGTTTTATCACTTTTTCCCCCTCTTTGCTATGAAGATTCCTGCAGGGAAATATTTAATGGATCTTGTTGCTGTTGATTGGTTTAAAGACACAAAAAGAATGGATCATGTTGCTAGGCGTCGAGGCTGTGCCACACAAGTGAGTCTTAGAGTTACCTTTTTAATGTTATTAGCCCTTTACTGTTCTGCTTGACTTAAGAAGGCTGTATCTTATTTCTTGAGAAAGTTGTTTGTTAATATCTGGTTGGCATATTAATAGTTTCCTGCTCCATTTGCTATGCCTAGTTTCTCTGTTCTGCAATATCTCTAAGCCTTTACTAGGAATCATGGTGAATATAGTAATATTCATGGGAGATTGGAATCTGGTTATACTTTAACTGATTGGTTCACTTATATTTTTTGAGTTGCATACCTTGCTGTAGTAACTCCACAACCTGCATAATATTTATTGGAATTGGATTCTGGCATGGATGTGGGAAATCAAAACCTTTTGTTAGCTCCATTGGTTAAGTTGCAAAATGGGAGGTAGAGGTAGTCTTTGGTTTCAGAAAACAGAGCCATTTTCTGTTTTTATTTTTTTAGAAAATGAAAAATATGAGTGAAAACGTGTTTCGTAATTAAAAATGAAAACAAGTTTTTAAAAAACAAAAATGAAAATTGATTGAAATATGAAAACAAAAAAAAGATGTTTTCACTTATGAAAACAAGGGATATACATTATTTTTTTCTTTATGTTTTGCAAGTTCCATATTTGAACACTTTTTAATATCGTTAATAATAAATATGTATTATATCTATTATTAGATGACATTAATAATAATATCATTGAATATTTTATTTATTTATTTATTTTTGCATTTTTAGAAAACATTTTTTATTTTCACTTACCAAATACATTTTTTAGAAAACAAAATATGGAAAATAAGAAGTATTTTCTAGAAAATAAAAATAGAAAATAAAAACAAAAAACATTTTTCAAACCAAATGGAGCCAAAGGCTCTCATTTCTTTGCCCACTTGATCTTCATGCTAAGACTTTAACTTAGGACCTCAAATTTCTGTAATAGTTTATTGAGAACAGAACCAACAACCTTTAAACCTATCTGCATCCTAGCCACTGTATTAGTGCTTGGTCGTTGTTACTTGGAATGTTCTATCGGCTGACATTTATTCTCAATCTGTTTTGTTTTTGGTCTCTTTTCGCATAAAGAGTTAACATATTTTTTATTAGACAAATTATATCTGACAGATTTTGTACAACTAAAAAAGAACGGTTTTTTAATGGAAATAATGAAGGATTAACTTGAATCAGTAAATTTAGTAAAAGGAACTTCAAATCAGGGTAACATGGTTATGTTACTATTGTGAGCAAGCTGCCTTTTTCTATGGGGGAAGAAAAAAGAACAAATAGGAAATCACATTAAACTTATAACCTGTCAGTTGAATGAATTTACCGATAACTGAGCATGCTAGGCTGATATCTGTTGTATGGTTATGAATTATCAGAACTATATTTGGCCCTGACCAAGTTTGTTTGGTTGGTTTCTTGTTGGATCAGAACTGATTGTTCACCTATTCCTAAGAGGCCAAGTATATACTGCTTTGAGTTTTTCTTGGATTGTCAATATCAACTTTATTGATGTAGAAAATCTGTTGTTAATTCCTTTATGGAGTATATTTTACAGGTCTTTGGTCCTCCTTGCTTCTGTCTTTGTAGGTTGCTTCAGAAAAGGGGCTTTTCTCCTTGGTCTTTAATTTTCAAGTAAGTCTTCATAGTGCAGGTAATGTTGTATCTTAAATTGATGGATCAGGAGGTCGAGTGGATTATATTGTTTTTGTACCAGGTTCCTGGCTCAACACACTATAGTATGGTCTTCTATTTTGTGACAAGGGAATTAGTACCCGGATCCCTTTTGCATCGGTTTGTTGATGGTGATGATGAATTCCGCAATAGTCGGCTAAAGCTTATTCCATCAGTGCCAAAGGTATCTATCTTTCTTTATTGTGTTTGGATTAATGCTTAAATCAGGATATTTGAGACAGTCGGAAGCACTCTTCATTGTAATTATGCCTCCATAATTCTTGTCATCTGTTGTTTATTAGTCTACCAAGTCCATATCACACACTTGACATGTGTCACCACACAAACAATCAGTCGTGCATGAATTGGTAGGTAAATGAAATCTGTAGCTGAAAATTCTACATTTTGACCATTAATATATTAAAGATTATGATTACTTGTAATGAAAGCAAATCATTTATCAATGATTGCTCTTTTTTAACTGACAAATATTCGGAAAAACTCCTGTACTTCGGGGACACTAAATTAATACTGTAAATCTTATTGATAATCTGTAAAGCCCTCTTGAATTTGGGCGAAAATGCTATCTAGACTCTCATGAGCAATTGCTGAATGGGATAGTGGAAATTCTGCTCCGGAATTTTAAGAAGGATTGGTTTTTATTATACTACAGGAAAAATGGAGCGTTAGTTTTCACATATTAGATTCTCTGCAGGTTCACAGTAATGTTCTCCAAAATGTTCTCGAGTCTTTTGATTTCCTTTTATGTACCCAAGCTTGAATATGTGTACTTTAAGGCATAACAAGGTGCATTGGTCATATGACATTGGTTTTTGCTGTTTTAAAGTTAAAGGCTGCTTCCAACCCAACCACAATGAATTGGCCTTTGATATGATCCTTTAAAGCTTGTGTAAGAAATTGATCAGCCATGTTTCTACCCTAGCTGTCTCAAATTACAGTTTGGCATGTATTGTCTTATGAAGTAGACTATTTCTTATACAGGTTCCTTATCTGCAAAAATAATCCTGCCAATACTTTCATTCAAGTTATGTTTTGTTGTAAATTGTTTTGTTCATTTACTGAGTACATATCCAGGTTTAATGCTGTATCATTACCTGAAATGCTATTCTGATTTTGCTTTTCCAATTTAAAATTTAAAGTAAAAATATTTTTTTTTGTTTGGTCTTAGTTTTGACTGGGTCAACATTCTCTTTAGCTGATGCAAGCATATCTTTTTTTTTTTAAATGATCAAACGTAGCCTTATTAATATTTGCATAAATCGCCTTTGTCCTATCTTATATGTGAATGTGGGAAATGTTTATGGATTAAATGGTAGGATCCTCTCCACTGAGGTTAATTTTGCTGAAAAAATGCAAGGTAATTCTGTTTTTCAGTTTACTCCTTTGAAAATTGTTCAAATTGAATCCTGCAGGGGTCATGGATTGTACGACAGAGTGTTGGTAGCACCCCTTGTTTGTTGGGAAAAGCGGTTGATTGCAACTATATCCGTGGTCCCAAGTACTTAGAAGTACGTATCCTTATGATTTCTTTAATACTTAAATGTAGCATTAAGGATCCTTATAATTGATATCGGTTTACTTGTTTATTTCTCTCTATAGGTTGATATTGACATAGGTTCTTCTACTGTTGCTAATGGAGTTTTGGGGCTTGTCATTGGTGTGATTACGACTTTGGTGGTTGACATGGCTTTCCTAGTACAGGTAAACGTTAGCCGTCCCAAACTTGTTATCTGGAAAAAATTACTTGCTTTGTTAATGTTGCCTTGCAAGCAAAGAGATTTAGCTTGAACTAGCATAATCTGAAGCAATTACTGTTGCAATACACATTGTTTTCATTATTAATAGCATGTCAGGTGCAAATTGTAGATCATAATAATGCATGGGGTATGTAGTTTTATACACTGTAGTTTTTGTAGTTTTACCTAATAATTAACCCGAGTGCGGGTGTCATTGGGCTGTCTGGGGCCATTGCCCATTCCTGATAGAAATTAGGCATGCGGCATTAAGTCACATTTGTGATTTTACTTTATATATGTTAGCTTAAAAGTGGTTGCATACTCTTTTTTTCTCCCTCTTAGGCGAATACAACAGATGAGCTGCCAGAGCGGCTAATTGGTGCAGTTCGTGTTTCTCATAAAGAGCTATCGTCTGCCATAGTTCCAAAGCTGGAAGGCGATCCATCGTGATTGATTTGACCACAGCTGATTTATACTAATCATTTGTTCTGATATTCATATTTCAGTCGCATTTTCTGTCATTTAACATTTACAGGAAGATGCCATCAACTTTTTCCGAATGGGATTTTCAGGAAAAGTAGTGAAAGGAAGATGAAAATTTTAAGATCAGCAAGCTCGTCTAATTATATGTATCTGGCTGGCAAATTTTTTTTTTGTTATTTCATACGATGCAAGGGAAAATAAATCCTAACGTATCCCTGTAGCACACGGAAGAGGGCTAGAGGATAAGGGATGATGGGACTGCTATTGCTATCGTTTTATTTATTGTAAAAGGAAAATCTTTAGTAAATGTAGTGGCAATATCAAGTTAGCATTTCATTTCAAATTTTCGGTTTGACGTGAGAGCTAGAACAATCGAGGGGAAGACCACTTCAAGGAAAAATTTAGACGACTTTGCATGTGCCACGACTGTTGAATGTCAAAGCTATTGATCCTTACATAGCATTAACCTTCAACGGCTAGTCGACTGGTTTTGGAGGACCTCTTCCCACTGGTTTACCGCCGTGTGGGCGTGGCGGGCCTAATGGTTTTCTTTTAAGATCCGAATGTAATTCCCAATCCTGGGACTAAAATGGGTCTCGCTTGGCCTAACATCACTCACTTGGGCCTTCAAGGCAACCCCACTCTATGGCGGCAGCAAGCGCAGAAGTTGAAGAGCCCAATTACTGAGATGTTAAATTTCCAGAGATGGGCCTTTATCCAGCCCATTTTCAGTCAACAATAGGGCATATAGCCAGGATAAATCTGGGAATTGAAAGCGGTTTACCAGGTGGCCCTCGAGGTTCTGGGCCGCTTGCTTCTGCAGCGGATCGGATCAGGGTTGATACGAGCAGGGGAGGCGATCGCAGCGTTTTTATGGGAGAAAGAGGAAGGGATAGAAGTGGGGAGAGAAGAGGGCATGATGAGGGTAGATTGGTAGTTGGAGAGGAGAGGAGAGGTGGTTGCAGAGCTCCATGCGAGGTGGAGGTGACCTTGGCCAGTCTCTGCAACAACCAGGATTTTAGCAGCCATTTTTTCATTGTTGGTCACTTAACTTTAAATGGAGTAGATTGTGATGAACAAGAAAGAGAGAAGATGTTATCTTTACTAGCGACTTTCTGAATGATTGATGAGAGAAGAGGGTATCTTTACTGGCGACTTTCTAAATGATTGATGTTTATTAATTAATAGTAATTAAGGAAGTTATAGAAGGCTGCTGTTACTTGCCAAAATGAAGTTTTTAAATGTTTCTACTTGAACAAAAAAATTTGATTTACTTAACATTCAGTAGCTATGGGCTATGGGTAGGATGTTTCACTGTCACATTCACATCATGCTATAACGGATAGATATGTGTAGTACTAGAGACTGGTGTGTTCGCAATTGCTGGAGGAGAGGCATTACTTGCCACATCGGTCTGTATGGAATCCTCAAGCAGCAGGGAGAATATCTAAGGCAACTTCCTTAAGGGATGGCATTGTTTCCCGCTGATGCACACACAAAAATTTGTCCCCCACGTTTCTAAGGATTCTCCAAGGACCTGGATAGCACCTAATTCAGAAAGAAAATATATATATATATATAGTTGTTGAAATTTAGTCGTGAAGCTGAAGAAAATTCGGTAAGAAATTAAATCATGTAGCAAAACCTGAAAAGGGTTCCTCCATTGCGTCCCTTAAAGTTATGTATGTAATATACGGTCTCCATCATGGGCAGGAGGGTTTTGGTAAGTGCTGCCAGCTTAGGGTAGAAGAAAGGTGGATAATCTTATAGCTCGTTTAAGGACAACTATTTATAATTTTTCAACTGTCTACCACTACAACAAGATGATAGAATGCAGATGAAAATTCTATTAGTATTGGATAGATTTTTCTTCATTTTTAAAAGTAATTAATACATGAACTCATTAATTTTCTCAAAAGCCCAGCTATAGATCTCAGAGTAATGCACTGGGTGACAATAGGAGGGCATCAAGAAACTGTCATTTGAAACGATTATATATGTAGATGAAACTGAATTCAAAATTAGCAAGAACAATGTAAGATTCACCAAGGATACACCCAGATCTGATACGGTCAAGTTCTCCATTGAATATAATAAGTTTTCTGGTGGTATTCATTACGGCTTCCTTGTAAAGCTCTTCCACTACAATCATTTCTGCATAATAGAGAGCAGACAGAAATATAAGCTTCACGGAGTGCACATCAATAAGAATACAGAATGCTTGAAACTACCATTGACGTTAAAATATGGATAGCCAACTAGGAACAGTTCATCATCAGGCTTTACCCGGTCTGCCATTTTCACCTTCTCACCAAAACCAAAATCCTCAAAGAATGATGGCTTTGTTAGATAGTCCAATTTGAAAGAAGCTCCTTCAAACACTTGTCTGGCAAATTTAACTTCATTTGCCTCTGGGAAAAACTGAAAATTTACAGCAGTGGTTTTGTACCCATAAATTATGAGCTATAAATAGAGAAACTTGATAACGAGATCAATGGGATCAATTGTTCACTCATAAAAGGGCTCATTCATTACAAACATGACAAAGGTATTAAATATTTATAAGTATCAACAAATTAAGGTCTCATATCATAATAGTAGGATTAGCTTCAGATGATTGAAACTTACGATTCTGGTTCGTGTAGCTTTCTCTGGAGTTACTAAGATATCACAAAATTCACGAATCAACTGCATACTTTCAGTCATTTCATTTCCTCCTTCACCATCACCTGATGTGTATTTGGCATATAATCAAAAGAAATAGAAGTCAAAAAAGAAAAAAGACACGGGGCCAAGGGGGGGAGAGAACCTGGTACGGATTGAAGTCCAGCTGTTGGGAATTCAATCTCCTGTAACAGACATTTTGTAGGTCACAAACTATATTGTTATTGAACGAAGTATGTGCTTTTCTAATTCTTCATTTATTACCCAGCGCTATCTCACCATTAACTGTTTGCCATCCTTCAAAGCCAATTCAGTTGCCTTTTTTGCCTGTTATTAATTTGACACATGCCCAAAGGAATTAATAATTGTTAGAATTAAAATAATGGCACAAATAATCACAGTAAAAAGGAGGAAGAAGAGTGTGACAACTAGCAAGAGAGAAGATATGGGCTGGCATGGAATTGCAGTTCTAATTCTGTTTGACAGCTTACTTGTTTAAGAAGGTCAAAGTAGTCATTGGGGAACGGCGTATCATCATAGTCAACCGAGGCGTTCCCCTGCTTAGGAACTGAACGACTAATAAACTTGAGATTCCTCGAAAAGCCTATAATGTGGTACAAATTAAAATTTTCTTTCATACAAGCATTTGGGTTAGCTCCTGTCCAATGGCCTCCGCTGTGAAGAACCTACAATTTGGCACAAACTAATTAATCAAAATTTCACTTGATTGTCAGAGATGTTCCTCTATCAGTCACTAACATGAACTTAATCAAGAAAAACAAAAGCAGCAAAGGAGAATTCTGAATCTAATAGTTCACGAGTGACCAAAAGAGAGTGCTCATCATCTTCTAGGCAGGCAATTTTATCTGTGCGGGCATTGAACTAAATAGATGAAGCATTCTATTACCTTCCGCTGTGGGATTGAGGATACTGCAAAGACAGGACAGAACAGCAGCATCTCCTGATCCTTTCTTTTGGAATCACAACGACCGTTTATGTTTAGTTGTTAATTCAACCTTTAGTTAAAACTCCCACAATGCAATCTCTGACGTGTTGCGTTCTTCGCCACTCAGGTTTGTTTATCTTCTTTCAATCTAGTCCTTACAACTTTTTTTTTTTTTTCTGAATACGAAAATTTTGTTCTCTACTATAAATTTTAACTAAAATTTTGTGTAGCAGCTTATGCTGCTTCTTTGGATAAATACAAAATTTATTATATGTACGTTAAGTAAACACATTAATTGATTATTTAAGAATTAAAAATGGAGGTGAAATAATGGGATGGAAGAGTATAACATCCAACATTAGTTGTTACAATAAAAAATGCATTTATTATATACACTTCTTGTCCCATTTATATATATGCATGTTTAATTTTTCAGCAAAATCTTTAAAGTAATTGGTTCAGCAAACATACGTGTTTGGTAGAATAGAATTAACTAAAAATAATTAGTATAAAATCCTTTCTTTTTATCTAAATTGATCGTATATAGGACTAATTAGGAAAGCCCTAGCTACCCCTTAAAAGAGATTAGTAATATTCTAGGTAAACAATAAATAAAAAAACCCCAATTAATTAGTGAAATTTATAGTATGGTTGAATGAATCGTAAAGAGTAACGGGAAGATGGAGTCATCGCCAAAATTAAATATTGGGGTTAGATTTCAAAGGCTCTCAAGAAAGCAAATATATATATATATATATATATATATAGTATTTAATTATTAACAAATGACGCAAACATTTGAATGTTTAATATCTCCGATTGATCTTCGATTTTTTGATTTAATGGTTAAAAAAACTTTAAAAAGATATTAAAGTTGAAGTTCGACCCGGCTGCCCTTATGAAAAAATAAAAATCCCAGATTGGACAAGTGCGTGCGTGTTATGTTCGTCATGCTTTTGTCTAGGAGAGCGAAAATTGATGCACCATACGAAGAAACTATGGTCTATGGCCACTTACTTCAAACTAATGCAAGGTCGTTCCCTGGCTACTGCTATACAACACGTAACAAAGTGGGTTTGTTTAGCAGATGAATTAGACCGTAAGGAGCTTGAAGTAATTAATTGTCAAAACCAAAAATAAAGAAAGAAATTGATCATCAATCGATAGGCAGTCATAGTGTCATATCCCGATTCCGGGCCTGCTGGTATCATAGGAAAGGGATGACTTTCGAAGCAACCAAATCAACTACTGTTTACCTAATGGTTGTTTTTCTATCCGTTTTCACAACAAAAACCAAAGAAGTATTTGGATGTAACAGATATGGCAAGCATACATGTGTGAAAGATTAATCTGTGTTTCTTCTTAAAACGAAGTACTTAATTACTAATTTATAAGCAGAAATCGTACATAGAACCTAATGATCAAATACACTACAGTCAGTTTTCACTTTTCACAAAAGACAAAAATTTTATCAGCAGACGAGTTTTTTGTAAACAAAATTATATATGTGAAACGGTGAGGTACTTTCATCAATCGGCCGGTGAGGTTTGACTAATTATTTTCGTAGTATGTGTCGATTGCTTAGAAAGTCACACGAACCACTGAAACTTAACCCCACAAGGCCTAAATTCTTGAGGAAAACAACTGCAAAAGCACTCAGCCTCCACCACCTAACACACCAACCCACTCTCCATCATGACCATTAACAAAAATATCAACAACACACAATCTGTGTAGTGCAAAATTAAAATAAAACAGGAATAATAATAATAAAATCATTTGTCTGATATATAGTGATCGAGCCAAATAGGGCATCAAATTATCAAGAGTAACTTGCACTGCACAGTTAAGGCATATACATCTCTCATTTATCCCATGTACTGTTTTTTATTTCTTTTATAGAAATTTTTTACATAAAGCAACAAAACAAAGCGGTGACAATTGAACTCCCTAGTCAGTCCCTATATATACAACACTTTGGTTTTGTTATTCTACTTCAGATTAAGACAAAACAAATTAATTAAAGAGTGAATATGGCGAAGAGTAAGGTTCTTGTGGTTGGTGGAACTGGGTATATTGGGCGGAGGATTGTGCAGGCAAGCTTAGCTCAGGGGCATGAAACCTATGTCCTTCAACGCCCGGAGATTGGGCTTGACATTGAAAAGCTGCAGATGCTACTGTCATTCAAGAAGCAAGGGGCTCACCTTATCGAAGGCTCGTTTAATGATCATAAAAGCTTGGTAGAGGCTATTAAGCAAGTTGATGTTGTTATTTCCACCATGTCTGGCGTGCATTTCCGCAGTCATAACCTTTTGTTGCAGCTCAAGCTTGTGGAGGCCATCAAAGAAGCTGGGAATGTTAAGGTATCATATACCTATACAATTACGTTGTAGAGGAGTTATTATGTATACAATATAGTTGGCTTCTGTTTTTTTTTTTTTTTTTTTTTTTCCGTTGTCTTTCAATGCTTAAAAGTAATATATTATATATACAAATCTAAAACTTCTCCCAACCTAATATGTCAATCTTTTGGTTTCCTCGTCATTCCAATTTTTTATTTCATCTAATTTGATTATTCACTTTTCTTTTCTGTTCTTTGAAGTAATTATAATAGTTACAAATACCATTTTTTATCTAATTAAAAAGAATTAATTATTTTATTTCAAAACTAGAATGGTTCCCTTTTCAGGTTTTTCTACGCCTTAATTAATTCCATAAATAAAGGTTTACTGTTAACTAAATTTTCCCATTCAAAAAAACTACAAACAAGCATACAGTGAAGAACAAAACAAGCATGCAAGTTATAAAACAATACAACAAGCATGCAAGTTATAAATTACCTCTATAATATATAAATAGAGGCAAACAGAAGTTTTTTTTTTAAATATTTCATCATTCATTGTTAAACTATTTAAATATTTTTGGATCTTTAATTTTCCTCTATTAGTTAATAATATTGAAGAAACATCAATGTCAGAAGTAGCAACTTTTTGTTTTGGCAATAATTATTAAATTGAAGCCAACAAGCATTTGCATTGCAGCGTTTCTTGCCTTCAGAGTTTGGTATGGATCCAGCGCGGATGGGGCATGCACTTGAACCTGGAAGAGTAACATTTTATGAAAAAATGGTTGTGAGAAAAGCTATAGAAGATGCCAACATCCCCTTCACCTATGTGGTTGCCAACTGCTTTGCTGGTTACTTTGTCGGTAACCTTTCTCAGCTTGAAAGGCTCACTCCTCCTAAACACCAAGTTTATCTCTATGGGGACGGAAATGTTAAAGGTACAACCAAGATACTATTAATTAATATTCCTCCAATTATATATATATATATATATATAGTGTGCATAGTTATATAATTAAGGTCGATCCATATATAGATTTTGAGACTATATATTATTCTTGATTAATTTGTTGATGATCCTGCAGTGGTTTTTATGGACGAAGACGATATTGCAACATACACGATTAAAGCAATAGATGATCCCAGAACATTGAACAAAACTTTGTACATAAGGCCTCCAGAGAACATTCTCACGCAATCACAGCTAATCCAGAACTGGGAGAAGCTTACTGAGAAGAAACTAGACAAAATAAGCATTTCTGCGCAAGATTTCCTGGCCTCCATGAAAGGTACGTTTAGCTCTTTTTTTTTTTTTTTTTTCCTTCATTGGTCTTGTTTGACCATAAACGCTGGGTAGAAAAAACTTGTTTGACAATAATTTAAGACAAAACCTTGGGAGAAAACCCTTGTTTGAAAATCTTACTCATGCAGGATAGGATGTGATCGATGTATATTTATGTAATTAAGTAGTTAATTTTTATGATTGGGTTGTTGCGCGTGCAGGGATGGACTTTGCAGGGCAGGTAGGAGTGGGCCATTTCTATCATATTTTCTACGAGGGCTGCTTAACAAACTTTGAAATAGGGGAACAAGGTGAAGAAGCTTCAAAGCTTTATCCCGAGGTGGATTACATCCGCATGGATGAATACCTGAAAATTTATACATAATAATAAATGTAACTTGCAGTACGAATTTTACCTGATCAAGCAAACAAAATCATATATGGCTATCAAAGCTAATTATGCATGGACTGTACTCCAATATTATTCTCCTAAAATTTTAGACGTCTACCTTATGTAGGAAGTGACTCCAACTCCTGTTTTGGTGGTCGTTGTACATGATTTCCCTTTTTAATTGCATCAATATATGTTAATAACATATGATTGTTGATCTTTCAGTTTCAATTTTATATCCTAAGTTCATCAAGTGTTTTTTATCGTGTTCTAATTATCCTTCAAGTTCGAGCAAGTGGTTTTAGTTTCTTGATTTATTTCTAATGGAATATAAGGATATTTGCTGGAAGACAAATCGTTTACAAGTGGCAGACAATGACCTAATCCACTTGACCAGTAGTCTTCAAGTTCCGGTCCCATTTAAATACATATACTAATCATCACCAAAAGCTAGCTCAAAAGATTGCTGCTCTTAGCTAGCTACCGCAGAAAGTACTTATATTTTGTAACCTAAAGGGTAAGCCTAAGTTTGAACTGAGGTAAGTGGAGAGAGAAAAAAAAAAGAATGGAAAAAAACAAAAGAAAATGAGGAATTTTTTTTTTTTGTTTATATATGACATAAATAAAAATAAAAGAATAGAAGATATGCTTAGCTCCTGTAGTTTCTCACAATTTGTTTATTTTTTAATTACCTTAAATTGGAAATAAAGGTAGGGAAAGGAGAATAATAAAGTTTTTAAAATAAAAAATAATTATTATATTCTTATTAATTTTTTTAAATTATAAAGTATTTGATTTTGAACTCTAAAATTAGATTAAAAATATAAAATATCATTTATCAATAAATTTATTATTTATTATTTATTTATTTTTATGAATTTCATAAATTTCAATGATGATTATTTTTATGAATAAATAAAAAAAATTGAAATATAAAATACATTAATATAAACATATAAATGTTATAATAAAAACAAAAATTATCAAAAATTATAATTAAAAAAAATAATATAATAAGTCATTTCTTTCACTCTCTATTATTTAATCAAGCAATAGATATTAAGATTTCTTTGTTTCAAGCATAGCGTATAAAGTAAAAGGGCGACAAAAAAGTGAATGACCAAATTTCTATTCTTTAGCAAAGGATATGAGCCTAATTAGTCTATGTTAGCTTTGTAGACAATAGGTTTATAAAACTAACTGAATCGTAAGTGTCATGGATCTAAGGAGAAATTTTGAATCTCATATCGCATATAAAAAAAAGATTATTGGACATATAAGGGTTCACATCACCTCTATTTTATGAAGTATTTTTTGTAGGATAAAATCGTGAGGTTAAAAAAATTAAAGCGGATAATACCTCATTAGAATCTGAATTGTGACAGATAGACTGATTTAAGACGTCTGATGAGTGCATATTCGAATCTTGGAGCCGTTCGAATCGGAGCTTAAATCTCGATCCGTGATACAAACAGATGTAAAACGAATGCATAACTCATAAATTGGATATCTATATTTTGAATTTCATCCCTTGTATGAAAACATGCGTGATTGACGCTCGTTTCCATTTATAGCAACAAACTCATAGCTATCTTTGGTGTTTAGGTCAAAATCTATGGAATCTCCTTCAACTTTAAGCTTAACATCTTTGCTTCCTTCTCTTTCTCCCAGTAGTCCATAATTTTGGAAAGCAGAATAGTTGGTCTTCTTGGAAACGTCATTCATCTGTACTGCGTTTGATTTCCTGTCTGCTTCGTTCACATTCTCCAGGAGATTCGACGGAGCCAAGTTGAAGTTTGCTTGTTGTGCTCTTGTTTCTTCTACATTCCCATCACATGAGTTGATATCAAATGAGAGGCTCTTTTGGGCTTTCTCTAATATTGCTTGCAAGTACTTCCCTTGAGCCTTTATCCTCATCTGCAATTTCTTCTGTACCTACAGTCATAACAAAGACCAATTCAACAACAATCAACAGAATTACAAGCAAATTCGTTCCATGCCATAATGTTTTAATGTAAAAGAATGAGAAAGAATCTTGTCCTTAAAGGTATAAATTAACCTCAAGTTGCTCTTGCAATGTCTTTTGTACTTCCAGTTGAGTCTTCAGTACCTCTGTCATTGGAATTTGTCTGTTCCATTGCAATTCATTGTCACTTAGAAATTGGGAAGGAACCATTTGACGGACATAAAAGCAATGTGAAAAGTAGATATCCTAACTAGATTCATAATCTCTAACTGCTATAAAGTTTGACGTGACAATTAAATGCTCTAGACAAGATTCCGGTTACAAAACAGAAATGACAAATAGAGCTAAGATATTTGCACCTACCTTTGCTCATTGTCATCTCTTGGTGAATTGGTGATAGTATCCGAAGAATGATTGCTAAACTGTACATACGAACTCCCTAGATAAGGAGTTGCAACCAATCACCATAAGAAGTACTAATAGTTGATTTAATCCTATATTCGCAGTGGAAAAATAATTGCGACTTACTAGAATTTGAGTCAAAGTATTACTCATCTACAAACTTACCACCATTCTCTTTGTTTTGGTCTGCTGCATTTTGCTTCCGCGCTTGCTGTCCTAGTCTGTATTTCTGCAAAACAACAGAATTAAGCAGAATTACACCAGTGCATTGTCTCAAAATAATTAACAAGCAAAAAGGAAACATGAAATTTTAATGTCCATGTCCTATGTACCTGTAAATGACTCTTCAAATGGTACAATGTCAAACCCTTCAAGCCCATCAACCTTAGGACAGACTTGGGAGTTGCTTCTGAAAGCAGAATTTCTCAATAATATTAGACTATACTGTAAACTATGCCAAGAGGATATTTCAATATGCTTATAGCGTTACATTAAGAGTAAAACTTTACTAATCCATGCACTGGTTTTTTAATTAATATGAAAACTAAAAAGAAGGAATGCAATTAGAATTTCACGATTATTTGCAAAAAAAAAAAAAAAATTCATTAATTCAGAGAAGTCTTTCTGATCTTTAGGAACAAATATTTGCAGCAAATCAGCCTTGGACTTGTTTGATGTATGTTCTCAAAAACCAATTACAGACATAAAAAGCTACATTGATGTAGGCAATGCCCTGAGCAAGCGACTTAACAAATATAAACTTTGCCAAATTTACTTGGCGGTGACAAAAAATGCAAGCAAGATTAATAAGACCTTTAAAGTATGGTAATTAGCTCCTCTATAGTCTATATCAGAGGGGTGGCTGCTCCCATTCAACAGCTTTAACTTTGACACAGCTACAATTTATAAGATCATACTCAACCAAAACTGGAATAAGTTTCTTACAATCACAATTTTACTACTATGATTTATGAAATTGATGTCACCCGCTTCTAGTTATCTCACAAAGATCCAAAATTTGTGCTATACTTAATTAATCATATATATTTGCAGCAGTTCATAAAAGAAAGATGTCTAATGGTAAAAATTATGTTTTTTTCACAAAAGGAAAAAACAGGGTAAGGAGGTAGAGAAGACTAACTGTCAGGGCCACCAAGTTTAGTTACGGCATCGACGAATCTGTCGTGAAGATCAGCCGTCCATCTCAGCCTGGGCTTTGCGTCTTTCGTCATCACCACCCCATTTTCGTACCTATAGTTCCCTCCTCCCTCAACTCCACCGCCATAGCATAATCTCTCCATCTCATCAGACCACACCAAACCACCTCAATTCGCTCCTTAAACTGAAATTCTTCAAGCAGGTTGTTGAGTGGAATCAATTTGAGTTGAATTTCCTATTTCTCCTTAGCATAAGAATGTAAACTGAAAAAACTTTTTTGCTGTTTCAACTTCATACATATTAGCAGAGCTTTTTATTTATTTATTTTTAATGAGAAACGGACAGATAATATTTATATTTAAACTAAGAACATGCAGAGGAAAGCTCGGCGACGAATCTTAAGCAAACAAACATGATTGCAATCTAAACAAAACAAAACAAAACGAATAATTTTCTTCATCCTCTCCCGTGTACGTCTGCATTAGGTGTTGGACCTTTTAGATAATCAGGAATGATGATCTAAAGGCGATTTGAGAGAGAAAGAAACAGCTGCAGCCTAAAGGGCGATGTAGCTGATTCGTATAAAGGATTCCTGGCGGTGCCACGTAAGTGCCAGCGTGGAATATTCGGCGGTGAATGAGTGGAATGGAATATTTGAGGAATCATATCACGTGGCGGGCCCACAGGGGAGGACGCAGCATTATAGTAAGGGTCCACATGAGTGGGCCGGCAAGAGGTACACGTGTCGATATCTCCGTAAGGAACAGGGGAGTTAGAAGAGACTACAAAATATTCGCTTCGGCCCGAACAAGGAGGTACAAAGCCCGTGAAATAAGCTATCCTATGAATCTATCCCTTTGGGTTTTGGCCCTATCCACTTTTTATTTATTTTTTTCATAATCTAATCCTTAGATTTGCTTATTATTCTTTAAGAAGGAATTAGAACCAAAAAAAAAAAACCAGCTTGTTATAAGCTAATAGCCAAAAACCAAAGACTCACAATTATCGATTGCTTTGAATTTCGTAAGTCTCTTCTTCGGCCATGTTTGCTCTCTAGTGAAGATGTATGAGTTGAGCCCAATTAAGGTTTGAAGTAACCGTGCCTGGATATATAATCTAAAAGTACAACGCAGAAGGACCATCCATCCACGATGAATATTATATATAAAACTATGAACAGATATATTTTTTATTATAAAAAAAAATGGACTTTTAATTTCACATATTCTTAGTCTTAGACTTGTAAGAAGTTGACTCACTCCCCCGCCCTTACTACTAACTGGCAAAAACTTCATCTGCAGACCAAACTTTTTTACTACCCTTTTTTCCTTTTGCTTTAAGGAAACTGTTCACCTCTTCTGTCTTAAAGCCTTTTTCCACATTCATTGTTTTATCTTTTAATGTTATGTGTTTTAAGTTTTTAAACAATAACTATAAAAATTAATTGTGTAAAACACAAATTAAAAGGTGTAAAACAAACAAATAATTTGCATTAAAAAGGGGAGAAAAGAGTTCAAAATATCTTTTCGGGATTTAGTAGACTTGGGATTGCAAGAGCTGATGGTTTATGAATACCAGTAGAATAAATCAGTTTTCTTTTTGTTCATCAAGGGAATAAATCATGTTAGCTTTTTAGTGGGAAAATGATATAAAGATTACAAAAGATGAAGAATAATTCCTTTGTTTATTCTCTCATCTTTAGTAAATCTGGATAAGAATCATATTTTATTGCCTGATTTTGAGGCATTGATGGTGGCAACTTTGTCATCATGACATCCAACTATGAGCTTTTCCATCGCATGGAAAAAGTTGGAAAGTGAAAAAGACCCAAGACTCCCCCACTCCCTTTCTCTAATCAATCAAAGGACTTTGACAAGAAAACAAATCCAACTAACAACAATCAACACATGAATCCAACCCCATGCCAAAATCAATTCCATAACCATAAACAACAATTATGCTCTCACATTCACATGCAAATGAAAACTCTTTCCTAGTTAAAAATAAACCACACCCTTGATTAAATTATTAAGAACCCCATTTAATTTATACTACTACTTAATTATAACGGAATCAAAGCCAGAGATGCCTCACAGATCAAAATCCACTAATTTCCTACTTATAACAGATAGAAAGTATAGTCTGCAAATTAAAATATATATTTCTTTTCTTTCTGTTGCTTTTCTTTTTTTTTTTTTCTTTTTATAAACTTCTGTTACTTTCTTTCCTCTCTTGCATCGGCAGTCACTTAATTTGGACCATTAGGTCGCATCCTGCGTATCCTTTGTGTCTTTCTCTTATCTCTTTCAAAGTTTTACATGTTTTGTTTTGCTCTGTAGCCTTTGCTCTGCTTTTACGTTTTTTCTCCAATGGCTACTCTTGGTGATATTGGGGTGTCTGCCTTGATCAATATTCTGATTGCATTTGCATTCTTGTTGGCTTTTGCTCTGCTGAGAATTCAACCGATTAATGACAGAGTTTACTTCCCAAAGTGGTATATCAATGGAGGAAGATCAAGCCCAAGAAGGGGTGGGAATTTTGTGGCCAAGTTTGTCAACCTTAATTTCCATACTTATCTGACTTTCTTGAATTGGATGCCTCAAGCTTTGAAGATGAGTGAAAGCGAGCTTATCAACCATGCTGGCCTTGACTCTGCTGTTTTCCTCAGAATTTACACTCTCGGGTACCCTTTGCTCTTGTCCTTCACTCCCTCGCGTTTATTTCCTCGTTGCTTCTTCTTAATATGTTGTTTCTGTTGACAGAAAGATTGAATTTTGTACTATAATTTGCATTCTTTCAAGTTATCCATATTGTCGGTCAAAACTTTTGCCTTTTCTTTTCTCTTTAGAATTCATACTCTACGGTTATCAATTTTTTTTTTTTTTTTTACTCTTTCATGTCCCTTTCTACTTGTCTTGGGTTCTGGCTAGTAGTTATTTCTTGAGGAAGTTCTGGAATTTGAAGGATAATAACCTGTAACAAAAAGAGTTTCAAATTATATTTATGTGATTGATTTTAGGAATCAAATCGCTTATGTTCTTTAAATTGGTAAAGTTCTTGTTGCCTATTCATTTGATTCGGTAACTCTGCCTTAACTATCAAAGCTGACCACAGTCTCTGGTTACCACCTATGTTAAAATCATAGTATAATTCTGTGTCAACTTATACATGAAGTGTTAAATTAAGTGAGGATCAGGGTCTCATTAGTTGCATTTATACGCCCTTTAGATGTTTTAGAACCTAATGTCCTCTTTATTTGGAGTATACGAATAACTAGCATTTTATATTTCAAGGACTACTATTGACTGTTGGATATCAGTTAAATTTAGCTGAAGATGCATTCTTGGCAACTAGTTGTAGAACAACTATCTGAAGCAGCCTTTTTACATGACTTAAGAGTTGTTGTAGTACTACTGTTCCTCATTCCTTTTGCCTTGCAACCTCCTGTTGGTTGCTGCATAGATTAAGCCTTGTTTCTATGACTTTGAAAGGATGAGCAGACTTCGTTCATGATGTTTCTTTTTGTACATCCAACTCTTAAATGATGGTTTTTACGGATATAGTATGTTTTATCATCTGGTCACCGTATTTTTCTGTCATGAAATCTTGATATTATTTGAAGTTGCTCATATATGGAGCTCTGTGGAATAGATGATTTTTTATGCATCTTCTCTGGGTATTATAACTCTAACATTATATTTTATTTATATTGTCTTTTCTTTTTTAAGAAAAGATGAAATTTCTTTAAATTATTTGCAGATTGCCTCCATAATCAAGAGCTTAAATCTCATGCTTTTAACTTTTTATGTTTTTGCTTCAGAACCTTGATTGCTGCTTTGATAATTGAAGAATTTATATCCACATTCAAGATAAGAGAAAGAATCTTTAATATCTTTGACCATTGGTTAACACTGTTTTTTCCTCTCGTACAGCTTAAAGATTTTTGTTCCCATAACAGTTGTGGCACTTCTTATCCTTATTCCAGTGAATGTGTCAAGTGGAACATTATTTTTCCTGAGGAAAGAATTGGTTGTGAGTGACATTGATAAGCTCTCAATATCAAATGTTCGCCCTCAATCTATAAGGTAAGTTTAGTATATCTTCAATAAATATCTCTTTGAGAATTTTCTAGCTTTTCTAATGAGTTGTGCTTGAATTTCAGGTTTTTTGTTCATATAGGATTGGAATACTTGTTCACAATTTGGATTTGTTACATGCTCTACCAGGAATATGATAATGTAGCAACAATGAGGTTGCATTTCTTTGCCTCACAACATAGGCGTGCAGAACAGTTCACTGTGAGTTGAATATTCTATTTTACTTTATTAGGAACAATTACAGCATATTTAAAGTTGAGAAGAAACTGTCATGTAGTTGTTGTCATCATTAATATTTGAGGATTGGGACTTTTTGTTTTTAACTTCAGTTGAATGACCTAGTAGAAATATCTGTTCCACTTCTTATAATGCTTAGATTTTGCTATTCAGTGGTTTATTCAACCATTTGTAGGTAAATTTTGGTGAATTTTACAGGTAGTTGTGAGGAACGTGCCACAGATTCCTGGTCACTCAATATCAGATTCTCTGGACCACTTCTTTAAAACAAATCACCCTGATCATTATCTTTGTCACCAGGTAATACAGTTCTTCTGCATAAGAATTTCTTGTGTTTTTAATTAGAGAGTAGCAGATGCATAATAAACATATAGCATGTCCTTGTCCTTTCTTATGGGGCTTTACTTGGCTATATAATTCCGGCATTATTTTTGTACTCAGGCAGTCTATGATGCAAACAAATTCGCTAAACTGGTGAGAAAAAGAAATAGGCTCCAAAACTGGCTGGACTATAACCAACTGAAGTTCGAAAGACATCCAGAGAAGAGACCAACTAAAAAGGTAGTGCACTGTGTATGCTTATAAACCTTCTTGGTAGCAACTTTAGTTATCAGCATTATGTTTTGTGTTGTTCTTTGAGATTTTTATCAACTTAACAAATCATCCAATACTTTATGCACCTGGGAATTTGATGCCTTGAATGCTTTCCACTTTCAGACAGGATTTTTTGGGCTATGGGGTGAAAGAGTTGATTCCATTGATTTCTACAAACAACAAATAAAAGAATTTGATAAAAAAGTAAGCTTCTGCTGCTGCTGCTGCTGGTTTATTCCAATGCATTCAATATTTAAATTTTCCACGTGTGGTTTAACCTAATTTCCTTCTGCATTTTCCTGAACCATTGGACTGCTCTGATATTCTGTCTATTGCATTGATTTTAACTGTCTCAGATGGCAGAAGAGCGCCAGAAAGTTGTCAAAGACCCAAAATCTATTCTTCCAGTTGCTTTTGTATCATTCAAATCACGTTGGGGGGCAGCTGTTTGTGCACAGACACAACAGAGCAAAAACCCGACACTGTGGATAACAAATTGGGCTCCTGAACCCCGTGATGTTTATTGGAGGAATCTGGCTATACCATTTGTCTCGTTAACCATTCGAAAACTAATTATTTCATTATCCGTATTTGCCTTGGTATTTTTCTACATGATACCCATTGCTTTCGTGCAATCCCTTGCAAATTTAGAGGGTCTTGAAAGAGTTGCTCCTTTCCTTAGGCCAGTTATAGAACTGTAAGTTAGCCTATCAATTCTTAGCTTGTAGATAATACTATTGTGATTTACCTACATGCATTTATTTTTTAGATGCGCAAAACATTCTGTGCTAAAATTCATCCTTAGATCTAGAACTAGGTTTTCATACTTATCTCTTTAGATCTCTTGCTAAATGAGAGTTTATATTATTTTGTATAAACTGTACTGTATACAACAATTGGGGCAACAAGCTTTTCTTTCATGCCATGTAGGGGTTATACTGTTGTTGTTTTTCTTCTTTGATAATTGCCTTAATTACCTGCAAAAGCAAAGTTATTGGAAGCTAAATAAAAGGACTAAATTTGAAAAGCTGGTACATTATATATATCATTTTTTTTTTCATAAGCTAAGAATTTTAGGACTTCTTCTGAAAAATAGTTTGTTGGGCTCCATTTAACATTATCATAGTCTCTGGAACTTAGGAGACTTTCACATAATGATATTATAGCCATTATAGAAACTTTCAGACTATAAATATTATTTATCATGCAAAAGATTAGTATTTTGAAACTTTATATATTGTTTCGGTATCCTCATAAAGTGTTAACTGAAAATGATATGCAGGAACTTCATCAAATCTTTCTTGCAAGGTTTCCTTCCTGGTCTTGCTCTTAAAATCTTTTTGTATATACTGCCTACGATTTTGATGATCATGTCAAGGATTGAGGGACATATAGCATTATCAACTCTTGAAAGACGAGCATCAGCAAAGTACTATTACTTTATGTTGGTGAATGTGTTCTTGGGGAGTATAGTGACTGGAACAGCTTTTCAGCAATTGCATTCTTTCCTTCACCAATCTCCAACTCAGTAATACTCCATGCATCTTTGGTGCTCTTTTTTATTTTATTTTAAGATTTTTTATAATTGTCTTAAATTGTTAATTTCTTTTACTTGGTATCTCTTAGTGTGACCTATGAATCTCAAAAGGAATGCCTGGTAAGTCCCTTTGACAGTGACCTCTGAATCAAGATCCCGTTGAACGGAACCTGACTACTATATATAGCAATCTTAGATGCACTCCCTAACAGTGACCCTTGGAAACATGGTGTAGTTGATATAAAAGATTGCTTTTGAGTTCCGACTGTCCCCAGTACCAAATAAGGTTTAATATGGGAAATCCTTTCAAATGTTAAACAGTGAGAGGAAAGTCCCTCATGTATTGATGTGGAGCCTCTCAAAGATGCTGAAATATGGGCTTCTTGTGATGCTGTGATGATGGTGGACCTCAATATCTAGGATGGAGCTGCCTTGCAAACTTTTTCAGATACGGACACAAGCACAAATCATGTATAGTGGTATTTAAAGTTGGTTCCAGAAGATTTTGTGGTGCCCGTTAACATTAGCAAGCTATGAATAGTAGTGAACTATGAAGACAGCAAAGAGTATTTAGTCTCTGAGAATTGTGCTTGTGATGTAGGGTAATAGCATGCCAAAATTGAAACATAAATTTAGCTGATAGCAACATTAAGTCATATAACTCATCTTTCATCCTGCAATCACTGTCTGCTTTGATTTTGTATTGTTTTTCTTTTGGGGCCAGTTTTGTTTTTTGCAAATTTTAGAATTTAGATGATGTGTAGTATACTGCTTTCATGATCTCTTATCCTATGTTCTTACCATTCTATTCTATTGCAGGATTCCTAGAACAATAGGGGTGTCAATACCAATGAAGGCCACTTTCTTTATTACGTATATAATGGTTGATGGATGGGCTGGTATAGCTAGTGAGATTCTCCGATTGAAGCCATTGGTTATTTTTCATGTTAAGAACATGTTTCTGGTGAAGACTGAACGAGACAGAGAAAGGGCGATGGACCCTGGCAGTGTGGACTATCCAGAAACTCTCCCAAGTCTCCAACTGTACTTCCTTTTGGGAATTGTATATGCTGTGGTTACTCCCATTCTTCTTCCTTTTATATTAGTCTTCTTTGCCTTTGCCTACTTGGTTTACCGTCATCAGGTTAGTTTATCTAAACTGCTTTTATATTTATATGCTTTCTGTGAGGTCTTTTGGTAGTTTAATCAGTTACTTGAAGCATACAATAAAATGTCTGCATTTTTTAAACTTAACTCTATTTAGGATGCTCGTAAGTCATAACTGATAAAAATTAATTCTCAAGAGGGAAAATGTCAACTAATATTTTCAAGATTCATTTGCAGATCATATTATTTTGTTGTGGATTTGGATTTTGTTTTTGTTTTAAGAGGTTTAATTTTATTTGTGATCTCATTTGCCATTTGATCATGCAGATAATTAACGTCTACAATCCACAATATGAGAGTGGTGCTGCATTCTGGCCACATGTTCACAGCCGCATAATAGAAAGCTTATTGATCTCTCAACTTCTATTAATGGGTCTGCTCAGTACAAAAAAGGCTGCTAATTCCACTCCTCTGCTTGTTATCTTACCCGTATTGACATTATCCTTCCACAAGTACTGCAAAAACCGTTTTGAACCTGCATTCAGAAAGTATCCCCTGGAGGTAAGTTCCATCTTTGCAAATAGCTAACTGGGCAAACAGGTTTTGTTTTTTCTTGTGTGAGGTCTGTCAGTCTTCTTTGGACTTTTGCAAACAACATTCGACATCTATCAGAATTGATCTCCTCTTTTAATATGTATGTAGGCTCAGCAATCAGTTGTTGGTTTTAGTAAAGAAGATGGAGGTTCCTTTTGGATGCACTTCTGCTTTTATGATCTTTATCTGGATGTGGTTTTATTTATCTCATAAGAATTGCAAATTTTGTCCAAGCATTGATCAAAGTTCTTTTTTCATCATTATTTTGCAGGAAGCAATGGCCAAGGACATAATGGATGGGACCACAGATACAGAACCTGATCTAAACTTAAAAGCTTTCTTAGCTGATGCTTACTTGCACCCAATTTTCCGATCCTTTGAGGAAGAGGAGTTGGTGGAGGTCAGAGTTGATAAAGTTAGAGTTGATAGACACCAATCTTATGCTGACAATGTCCAAACTAGTGATCTCAGTTCCCCCTCACCCCCTCATTATAGTTATCAACTCACCTCCCCACCCCAAGATATCAATCACCATGGCCTCCCACCCCTATACGCCTATAACCTCTCCTCCCCTCCCCATTATGGCTATCATTATGAAGTAGAGCCATGAACTTCGAGGGACTAATATGCTCAGGAGTCTTAACAAATTTGTCATATTTTTTAACTTACTACTAGGCATTGATATGATGGAGTCCTTTCCTTTACTGTAATTATAAAAAAAATTCTCCCTCTTTCTTCAAATTTGTTGGTAAATTTAAAAGTTTGGATCCTTTGCCATGCTTTTATGTTTTACCTTGACTTTATGCAACATTTCCTTTTAGCATGAGATTTAGGGAGCTTTCGGTTTGCACATCTGACATCATCACATCAAGTTGCAGAAGATTACTGAGCTATAAGTCCTATCAGGTTTTGGTCAGAATCATTTGTAAACTGTAACACTAATAACGACGTATAGGGTTTTCTGTTCCAGCCAGAATCCTCGCAAAAGCATGGCCTTTCCCTATTTCCATTTGGCCTTGAAGATCTCTTATCTGGACTGTACCAAGGGACTTGATGACCATATTCTTGAGTTTGTGCCCATACGGAGGTTTTTCGTTTTTTTTTTTTTGGCATTCCTTCACTCTTCTTCAAGCGTGGGATTATACTTTTGTGAATTGTAAATGAAAAAAAATGCATAGATGAGCTAGGTAAGCGTGTAAAATCTTTATCTAAAAAGGTTACAACAACTTCAAGGAAAACGTCACATTTTGGCCATCCTCCATACCCAATCCTCTTATTCCAGAAAAAAACCAAAAATCATAGCTACATAAATCATGGTTACAAGCAATAGGGAAAATAGAAGAGGATAGATGATGCCAAAAGGTTCGTTTTCTATGAATTTCTAAACTTGAATTTGATCTTTGATTTTGTTTCTCTATATTACAGATCTCCACAGAATTACAACAGAAAATAAATACATATGAGAAGAACAAGCTAACACTAATGACACTTGAAAGAGGAAGTGGAAAGGGGAAAACTGAAAAGAGGATAATTTTTTATGAACCTAAGTCATTGTCCAATGTATAAGGAAGCTACTGTACTTCTAGGCTTTTGTTGCTTCTAGTGGAGCTGCAGTTTTGCTCGCGGTAATTTGCTCATAGAGATCTCTGATCTTCAATCCAACAATGGTTTGGAAGAGGCCGGTTCCATTGTTACTTCCAGGGAAATCAGCATGCTTCAACAATTGCTGGGTGACTTCTCCATAGAACTTGGTAGAGATGTTGCTCAAATGGCTTTCAACATAAATAAGTTCATCTAATCTGTCAAATTGCCCGTCCATCTCGAGAATAGAAACCTAAAGAGAAGCAACAGAAACAGAAACAGAAACATTGGCATTAAAGAATTAAAAAAGTCTGGAATTTGAGTTCATTCAAGAAAAACTGAAAGTCTTATCAAATGCTGTCGAGAAGAGCTAGCTAGAATATAATGGAGAAGGCATGTAAAGAATACCTCGTGGCCGAAGTAAGTGTCAGGGCCATAGAAGAATTTGATGCCAGGGTAAGAGCAAGTGAGCTTCCTTCCACATGGTATCCATGAGATGGTTGAGCCTTCATCAAACAGGTAAACTGGGCTGAAATTCTTCACCCCTTCTTTCATTATCAACCTAACTCTCAAAACCTTCCCTTCATTGTCGTCCGGAATGAGCTGAGTTGGCAGCACTTCAATTACTGCATCAGCATATTGCTTTTGAGAATCTGCACCCACCAAGCACAATAACGATTAATGTCTAGGTACTATTCTAACAAAACAAGACATTGTCACATAAATTGTTAATTGTCTAACTTTTGTATACGAATAAAACATCCATAGCAATACGAGATTTGACAAGGTTGTAAGCAAGTTTGTATACTTCTACCATTGTTTGGTCTGATTTTGCTGGATTCACCTGGCTCTAGGGGTTACAGCAGCTCAAGCACGTAGGCTTTATTTGTACAAATGGGATTCCTTGTAAAAAAAAAAAAAAAAAACTAAATATTGAAAGGGAAATATGTAGTGTTTTTACCGATATAGGCATCGAAATCGGGCTTCCTGGCTTCAATACTGGCTTTAATGCTTTCAAGGCTGTGTCCTCTCTCAGCCATGTCCCTCTGCAACGTTTTCAACAAAGTAAAATCACACTAATGAACAAAATCCTGGCATTGAATTTGCAGAAATTTTGACATTAGTGCACATGTAAGTTAGTCACCTGAATTTTCCATGCAAATTTGACCTCATTGCTGATGTCCAAATAGATACTGAAGTCCAAAAGATCCCTCACGCGTTCGTCGAACCTATATATCAGGACAGGGAACTCATTAACTGGGTAATTCTCATAGTTGTTGTAGAATGGAAAAAAAAAGTACTAAAATATACTAGAAATAAATAAAAATTAAACTAGTAATAATGTAATATGCAGTAGACCACCAGTAGTACAACTGTAACACTATTGGCATTGACTAAAAGGCCAGTTCCAAAGTTACTGAGCTCAAGCCAATGGCTATAAGGTACAATACAAAATTCATTGCGTAGCATCTCTTTTCTTTTCCCATCTTGAGTCAGAATTCCTGGTTTGATATGGTTACCGCGCCGATAGGCATGGAAATTCACTAAAAACAAATAATAGAGGCCGAAAGCTTTTGCTGAGAAGCTATAACCAATAATTACAATGGCCCAAAGTATTCATTTAGGCCCAACTGGCTTAACAAAGAACTTTCCAAAAAGTCAAAACTTATCAGCCAATCGATTTTAATCAAAGAATGCAAAGAATGCATGGGACTTTGCTGATTAATCTAAATTCTATAGAATAATCCAAATTGAATTAACTTTGACATTCGGGTTTGGAAACAGAGAAAAAAGAGAGTTACTTATCCCAGAAAATTACAAAATCAGTTTTATGGAATCTTCTTTTTTTCATCAGAAACTGCCAAAACATGCGGGAGAAGGATAGTTCCAAATTTTCATGAACAGATGTATGGCTGAGAAAGAGAGAGAGAGAGAGAGAGAGAGAAGGAAATAATGAATGGCTCTAGTTTCTAGTTTTTGACTTACATGGGGTGCAGTCCTTCGATGACAAGGATCTTTGGAGGCTTAATGAGCTCAGGAGGATCCAAGAGACCAGTAACATGGTTGTAGATAGGCTTCTCGACAGCAATACCACTCTTGAGAGCCTTAACTTGCTCATGCATGAGGTCGAAGTTGTTAGCTCTTGGGTCAAGTGCTGTCACTCCCTTCTCTTTCCTTCCTGTTCGGTCAAGTGAATGGTAATCATCTAAGCATATGACAGTGGTCATATCGCTTATGAGTGTGTTTGAATCAGGGTTGCCACCCTTCGGTGGCTCTGCTGCACCACCAAACACACTAGTTAGCCTCCTCATGAAGGTACTCTTCCCACATCCTGAGTCTGCAGCCAAACCAATCACGACTGTTTGCGAGTCACCAGCTGAGCAGGTTATGACACATGGGCCGCAGCTGCTGCTACCTCTCTTGTTGGTTCGCTTGCCAGTGCTGTAGAAAACTACCTGCTTTTGGTGGAAACCTAAGTGGGTTTTTGTTGGTGTGGAGATTGAACATGTAGAATTGAAAGATTGGGAGGTGTATACTGTGCAAACTGCCATTGCTTAGCTCTCTCTTGTTATGTCTACTCAGAAAGGGAATTTAGAGAGCTTCGAGGCAGGGAAGAGAATGTTAAAATGGGATGCCCTGGCAAATTGTTTAGATGGTACTGAAATGCCACATAAAAACGAGTTTGGATTCTTGTCCTTTGATTTCCAAGGAAAATGGTGTTGAAGAAAACAGATGGCAGTTTGTAAGGAAAGGAAACAGCTTAGCTATGTGGATGGAAAACTGATGTGTTTTTTGTTTGTGGGTTTCTATGACTAACCCTAGTTTTGGACAAAGTCTGGAGCTGATATTAAGGTGGGAATGAAAGGGACTTGAATGGGCTTGAATTGGCAGTGGAAAAAAGGGTCATTTCAAAATTCAATTTCGAAAGTATATATACTAGATATTCAGTTAATATTATAATGGGAATTCTGGATGAGTTGGTGGCTATGATATGTGATAGAACGTAGGGGGAATGGACTACGGTGAAGCTTGATAGCTATTTGTTTTAGTTTGGATATTTGTAATGCCACGTGGCACAAAGGGTGTGGTTGGTTAAAGATGAGGGTTTTGGGGTGTGGAGTGGCGGAGGTGACGGCAATTCATTCTTTGGACCATTCTTTGGAATATTCATTTTCACATCCACAAAAAATTAAAGGAAATAAAAAAAAAAAAAAATTACAGAAGGAACAGCCTATGGTTTGCAAATACTTTGATGGCGCTATTGATCTTTGCAGCTGCATGTTTTATGCAAAAATAGAATATGAAGCTTTGCCAACCTTATATCAAAATAGTTTAAAATAAGTCAGTAAATAATAAAATACTACTGGCAGCGAGACTCATAGACAGCATACATCTTTCACCCAAGTTGACATTATATTATTTTTAAAAAAATTAGGTTCTTTTTCACATTGAAATTATCAGTATTTTTATTTTATAACAATCGAAATTGAACATTCCCACTTAACAAGTCAAACACAACTCATATTTTTTATAACAAAAAACATTGACAACAATATTAAAATTTAAACGGCGGCATAGAATTGCCTCTGATTTAAATAACATTTTAATCAATTATTTTATTATAATTGGGAACATATACACACTTATACTTCTGACTTACACGTAAAGAAATTGGAAGCCAAGAGGAATTATTAAACAAAATAAAAAGAAACAGAAGCATGTTGTTTTACAACTGGTGGGTGTGCTGATGGAGGCGACCATTAGTTTTTCAACAATTTTTATATCATTTGAATTTAGCTTATATATATTTCATGTCCTTGAATATTAAAAATATTAATTAATTTAAAATTGATCTCAAGTTTATTATATTTATTATTATAATTATGTATTAAATTACTTATTTGCAACATTAAACTTTTGTAATAAAATAAAACTTTACTTTTCAATTAAGCAGCAGCACCAACAATTTCAGTGGAAGAAAATAACATCTATATTGTATCAGGCAAATACCTTTTTAGGTTGTCATATCAAACAAATGAAACCGATCTTTGACTATAGTGTTCTATCACATGGAGCAAAACCTTTTTATAAGACCTCTATATTTGATAAATGAAATGGATCCTGACCTATTTGATGGGGGTGTACCGTTAATGCCATGTCCAGTACTTAAATGCAGACCGGAGAATTCTTGGTTCAATCATTTACACTAACTGCGACACCACTATGCTCTTCACCGGGTGCAGCGTCACCTCGACCACCTGTCTTCCTTATAGGTAAACATCGTATTATGCTAAACAAAAAATAAGAAAAATCCACTTAGCATAATTCTTATATTTCTTGAATTTTTACCTTTAGATCAAAATCAAAAAGACAAAGATTAAAAGTGTTATTTTGATCCAAATTAATCATGAATTTAATTTTGATTTAATGATGAAAAATGTAAAACTTACTCTAATGTAAGTAAATTCTTACTAAAAAAAAATCAGGCGAGGTAAAAGGATGGTGAAGAACTGGAAATTAATTGAAGACCTCTCTCTCAAAGTAAAACTGCAACATCCTAGATACATACAAACCCATTGTATCAATCCATACAGCAATCACAAAAAGACAACACAATATTTATAAGGTAAAAAATATATATACTAAACTACACTGAGATTTGGCATCAGCAAAATTCCAAATAGGAGGACCGCAGCCTCACTTCACATCTCACTTGTGCCCCCTAAAGTACAAGTAAATTTTCTGCATAAACCACCAACGAAAGAAGGCAAAACTCAGTCAAAATGAAAATAAATATCAAGGCAAAGTAGCAAAACGTGCAAGAAAAATCATCAAGGGTGCCAGAAGCTACGCATTCAAAAATATAAAATGGTTTTATTTTATTCTGAGACTGGTTTGATGAACTCTACCACATCATATATTTATCTTTTCAATTTTCACAGATTATCAACAACTTTAAAAGCTACTAGAATGGGTTCAAGTGCAACATGACAATAATTATATGTATTATTAGATGTCAGATGAGAAGAATGAAAACTACAAGAAACTTATCTTACCAACAAGGATAATTAGTGTTGAATTAACTCTTAAAGAGAAAAATCAGATGGCATAGCCATATCATATATATTTCAATAAAAAAGACAATAACTTATAACAGTTGCGAATCAAGAGATATGGTATCTCCAACCTGAATAACCCACAGGCTTAACAGTGACTCCAAGCAAAACAGCCCAAAACCAACAAAGAAGAAAATCTGTAAAAGTACAAATATATTGGTTAAGCCCAAACATTCAACAAAATAATGTTGTAAAAAAAGTTGGACTCCTTCTGCAGCAAAAGCATCCATGTATGATCATATATCACTCATTACTCTCCTCTGAAGTATATTGTCCAAACAATGGTACAAAATTATTAAAATTATATTTGTCCATAAGAAAATTTTTTATTTGAGATTGGTGAGAAGAATGCACATCCTTAATTCCTATAACTTGCCGCTAATAAGAGAACTAATTCCATCAAGAAAAAGTAATACAACTTACCCCTGCCACCATATGATTAGATATAACATCAATTGCCGCCAGGATACCACTGCAATTAGAGAAAATAGAAAAAAAATAGTAACTTTAAAATAAAAAGTTAAAAGTGTGATTCGCTAGAGGCATTAAAAGATACAATCATAAGAACATTCCAACAGCTAATAAGCGGCACTTTGATGAGGCAAAACTGAACAAAAAGGTTCTAGAATGTCCCAGTCAATAGCAGTGTCTATAACAGCAGCTAAAAAAGCCTGGAGCATCTGTATAGTCAAATGCATTTAAAACATAAATCACAACAAAGTAACATGTACATGAAATTGCTAGGACAACCAACAAATTTGCCAACTCAAAGGTCCTTCTGACTACAGGCACAAGTTAGGGAATGAAGAACTTACGTTAATGACTTCCCATGAAAGACAACAGGAGGAGCTATTGCAGCAAAAATGCAAAACCCAAGATGAAGCTACACAAGCAAATAGACAGGTTAAACAAAAATCAACCACAAAGAATATAATGCCTCGGCTGATCACAGCTAAGCTCACCAAGTAGAACATGAAAAACCAACCAAAATTCAAGGCACTATCTGTCCTGCAAGGTGAAACAAAATACCCAGCAGAACAACCATCAGCACACCAAAATTTTTAAATTTTCATGCTACAAACAGAATATTTGAACCAATCACTATATATTTACCTCATTGCTCGGTAGAGAGGTCTGTACCACAAAACATAAGAAAGAGGACATCCAAGCAACATGTAGATTATAGCAAGGAAAAAAATTTTAACACCTACAATGTATGAACCAAGTTAGAATATAAACACTATTGTATGCCTAGACCAAATTCCACAATAAATGCAAAATATCAAAGAATCAGAAAATACTTACCACCGCCTTGAATCCAACAGACAATTACTGCAATAACATTAAAAACAAGACAAAGAACTATGCCTGGAACGATAAAATCAAAGCATGTCAGTGATACCAAATAAAGAGGAGGTGGTGGGAAAAGTGTGAAGTTTTCAATTATTGCCAAATACTGTAAAAAATATTACATACTATAACTCTTAAATGAAGATTCAAGGATGGTTTCAACATGAGTTTCAGGTTTAAACCAAAAAAAGATTAAAAGAAAAACTACTTTGAATCTTGTTTAGTTGTGATGCTTCAGCAAGATTTATGAACATGAAATTGCCCAGAATTATTCACAAGCATGTATGCACAAAATAGTAATATTATTAAGTATTTGAGGATTAAACAAGAAAAGGACTCTTTTAGATTATTTGAGTAAAAAAGAAATAAAGACAGAAAGGTACTATAACAATAAAATTCAGTGCAAACACTTGTACCCATAAAATCTACAAGATAGTCTTTTATATAAAAACTTAGATAATTAACATTAAAAAGCAAGGATGCATATTAGTAGAGAAATCCACAACAACAAAGCAGAAAGATTAGCCTCCATACCTAGCCAACTTGCGAATGCAAGATATTGCAGCCTCTGAGCATGAACCGGTATCTCATTAGCTATATCATGATGTATGATTGGGAAAACCGGTGGCCAATTTTTATCTTCTGTAGGAACACCAGCTGATATGCCATGAATGAAAAAGAGAGAACATTTAGGACCTTACCCCAAAACTTGAAAAGAAAGGAAATGTAAACGGTTGCTTGTGCTCCCATCCTCTTACCTTGGGAAACAGCATCTTCCCTTCGCTTTATGTCCTGAGAAATAAAAATGAAAAAAAATAAATAAAGAGCAAACTAAACTCAAAACCCATAAGAGCACTTAATGCACTGTCCATAAAAGGAGGCTTTACAACATATAATTCAGTCAATAAGTCTTTATTTGACAAGAAAAAAAAATAAAAGAGCAAGTGATTCACACTTTTAAACAAGCACCAAGTTAAAATTAACCTTATCCCTTCTTTTAAGATCCGCTTCCCAAGCTGCAAGCTCCTTTACTCTTTTCTTCGGATCCTGTAATTAACAACATCAATACAACAAAGTAATCAGTCATCCCATGTGAATTCAAGCTATAGAAATGAACAGGAAATGGAACCTTCATTACATTCATTGTATCCAGTGGTATATCCACTTTAGCATCATGTTTCTGCCCAAAGCCCAGAGATGCCGGTGGTCGTGCAGGTGCGACAGCACCACCATTCTGCAATGACTAACAATAAGTAACACCAAAGAGCACAGTAAAATATATTTAAATTTAATGCACATCCAAAAAACAAAACACAAACAAGAAATAAGATAGCTACATCTGTACCAGAGATATAAATCATGCCAATTAAGCATGATTAAGCATTAATTATCCAGAGCTCATCACTTAAACAAGACATAAACTATGAACATGACTAGCCTGTATCAGGCTATCAGCGTTATTACATAGATGGTCACACGGTTGGTAAGGAAGAACCATCTTAGGCTCAAATCCGGCTTATATTAATCTTCTATAGTCCTTAAAATTTCAAATACAGTAACTATTTTTGAAACTACAGTCCATAAACTTCAATTTGTAGAAATTTTCAGGTTTATGAAATTACAGCACCCTACTTTCACAATGGCTATCTGTCACATTGCTTTTCTTTCAAAGGAAATCAAAAAACAAATATGGAAACAAATTTTTTTAATTACATTTTAAGGTTAAAAATAAAAGCCATTTAACGAAAAATATACACTGAAATCTCGCTTGTTAAACCATATAAACAAAAGTTTTTCCATTAATTGCAATTAGATCCAGACTTCCCGACACTTAATTCCCAAACTACCCCTGAGAAGTCAAGAAACCCGACGACCGCAAAACGTATACAGAACAAAAATCCAGATCTGAAATGGGCAAAAAAGAAAAAGTAAAAAACAAAAAAATGAAATTCAATACCGAAAATGGATTGACTTCTTCTTCATCGAAGGGGTTAGGATCGTGGTGGTGATTCATTCTCTCTCGGTTTCAGATCCCAAAATATCTCCAAACTTAGGCCAACTTTTGTTGAGTGGGTTTCCAGTGGGAGAGAGAAACACTACTTTACTCTCTTGTAAAGTAGCTTTGGCTTGTGACTTGTGAGTAACGCGGGATATTGGGATATTAGATGTAATTCTAGATTTGCCCTTTATATTTGAAATAATTACGAGTTGGGCTTGCTTATAGCTGGATGTTGTGGTTGTTCGAGGCGGTACCAGTGTAATTGCACCTTAAAACTGGAAAATCAGCGGTTGCCACGTTAAGGAGTAAAGAGGCGTGATAATCACGTGTTTTCAGCTTCGGCAAGCGACGGTTGGTTTGGTTGCCCTTGCATTTTCCGTTCAGCGGTTCAGCTATGAAGAAAGGTCACTTATTTGAATTATTATTACTTTTTAATTAGTTAAAATTAAGGTTTAAATTCTTTTCAAAAGGTCGTGTGATTCGAAGAATTTTTTTTCCTCGTTAGTACATGTCGTAATAAAAATGCAAATTTTAATTTTAATGAAACAGATATGAAGTGAAACTAGCAAATGTAATTGTGATTAAAAATATTAATAAAAATTTGAATTATAATTAAATTAATTGACATAATTACAATTAAAAATAATATTCATAAATTTAACTCTTATACTAATTTTTTTTTTTTTAAATTACATTCTCCTTTGTGAAAAGAACTTGTTGATATAATAATTACTACTACTAATTTTTGTACTGCAATCTAAGCATCATGATTGATTAGTTTGAATTCAAGGTGTAGTTGTGGTTTTTCCATGAACCGATTGCATACCTCCCATAAATTCAAAGTTGAAAGTTGTTCCGATCCACGAAGTTTTTAAGTAAAATTTGGTTCGAGGAAATTAAAAAAAAAAATTTTGGAATTTTAATTGTGAATATTTTATTTTTAAGTTCGATTTAAAAATATTTAATTTTTGAGAGAAATTTTAGATTTTTAATAATATTCAAAATTTTTCAAAATAAAAAATTCAATTTTGCTTATAATATTTTATGATTTAGGATAAAAAATTACTTCAGTTTCACATTTAATTTGAATAAAAAAATTATTTTTTTATCTTATTCCTTTAAAACGTAACGGCCTGATAATGAAATTAATATTTTTAAAAAAATTAATTATAGCATTTATAATGAACAAAATATAATAATTATTTTTTATAATTTTTTATATTCACACTCTATCACTATGCTTATGTTCTTAAAAAAGCAGAAATTATTTTTTGCGTGACTTATATTCAGATTCTATTACTGCATTTGTAGTTTAAAAGCACAATAGTTGTTGCTATATGTTGTGTTTCTTTGAAATAAATACAATATTTGATAACAACTAAATGACTGTAATTATTATACATGTGTCAATAACAAAAAAGGATATCCTAAAATTCACGCTTTCTCTTAAAAATTATTTTTTTTTAAATATAAGATTTTACGAACTAAATAATCTTTTAAAAAAAAATCTATAAGTAAACTTTTTCTTGCTCCAAACCGACATATTAAGAAAAGGGTTAATGTTCATAAGCTGTAATGAATTTTTTATTTCTTTTAAGAGAGATTAATTCAATAAGATTAAAAAAAATGAATTAGATCACTAGATTGATGATTTTTCTTTTCTAAGTCAAAAGAGTCTATTAGTTAACCAAAGGTTACAAAACTAAAATAATAATAAAAAAAAAAAGGAGTAAAGAAAAGAATCTAATGTTGCAAATTCAAAATAGATTGACAAAACACCAAACTCGTTGAAGCACACTTTCTGTCATCAAATATCCTGTTAAATTAAAAATTCCTCCAAGGCAAAAATTCCATTCAAATCCATTACATTTGCCCACAAATTCTTCTCACCGATATCCCACACAGAGCAAAAGATTTAATCATCACACTATCAAAATCCTAAACACTCATCACCCTTAAATCTAAAAACATCTGACATTGCACAAAACAAAGACTTTGAGACAAAATTTTCCAAGGCCACCAAGAAACCCCCATACAACCCAATGATAACCTTTTAATAAGAGTCATAATCTCAAATATCCTTTAACTATTAGAATCTCATCTTTATTAAAATTTACGATTTTTTACAAAATTCTCCCTGTTGCCAACCTACCCATCCGTCTAAAATTCCAAAACAAAATCTCATATCCAAAAATCGAATCCACGCCAACAGCATACACTCAATTCCAAATTTCAAAGAAGACAAAGAAGAAACAGACTTGAAAAATTAGAACTTCCTCAAGTCTCCAGTATCTAATTCTATCAACTTAACCACAATCACTTTATCAACCATCACAATTTGTCGAAAAACAATTTCCCCAAGTCTCAAGCCGTTTTTGCTTCTTCACATAGAATTCTTCTTTTATTTTCAAAATCACAATAAGTTAACGAATCGTTGACGATTTTATTGTCAAAGATTTATTTTTAATAGCATTTTTACTTTTTTTCTCGACTTTCTGCGTCTACTTTTTGTATATGAGATAATCAATGCAAAATTAAATAGAATATTTTGAGTGAAAAACATACCGATTAAATCATACATTAAATAAATATATGATAATAAAAGAAAAATTTTACATTATTTTGCAAAAAGTTTAATGCATGTAATAATATCTATATTTTTTTCTAAAGAGAAGTACAGTGAATCATTTAAAAAATAAATTAAAGATACTTTCTATATTTTTTGGTAATTTTTTTTTGCTAGTTGTTCTTCCAATGTGACGTGACAAGCGGCTTATTCAAAAAAATCCATTTCGTTACAGTACGAATCTTATAAACTTAATTGTGTTGATGCAAGAAAAAAAATTTTTTTTTTTTTTATCGTCAAACAAGAAAAGAAAAGAATGGTTTAGGTACAAAGTCATTCTTATTCTCCTAGCAAAATGAGAAGTTATTCTAGAGTTTAAAAAGATTTTGTTAAAAAATAAATTTCGGATTATAATGAAAGCAAATATATATATATTTCTGGTGAGTCCAAATTATAAGAACGAGATGTGTACATATTCTAGGTATCCCAATTTATTAATCTTACACTCCTATTAATTAATTGGTCATTATATAGAATTCAAATTAAAAAAGTTGAGATAATTTCCAACTAAAACCTTTTTCTTTTAATTTCTTGTCTCAAGAAAAACATGATATCTAATTTATCTTTTTCTAAGGGCACAATAGCATATATATAGATAATTACTTCTCTTGTTGGAATTAGGGTTTAAAACCGAATTCCTCTTTAGTTTCATTTTTTCTAATTATGGATTTTATTCCTTATTATTATTCCTCACTAATTACATCTGAAAATTGGAAATGCGTTGTGCTACATGTGAGAATTGTAATTTGTAAGCATGAAAAAAGAATATTAATTACTAGCACTAATCTTTTTAAATGTTTTGCAAATCAGGAAAATAGTACAAAAGGAAATTAATAAGCAAGAAGAGGAAAAAAAAAGAAAATTTTCACAATAATTAAGAGAGAGATACAAAAATAGGGTGATGCATATCGTCTACTTTCCCCAAATATGTCTCTCCTGCATGGCCTTTGGTGGTTCGAAACTGTGCCCCGGTACCATAGTGAGCCATCAACAACCAAAAGGCGCTAATAAGCTCTCTACCATTGCTTACCTCTTTCGCAAGTGTACTTGCTTTGCAATGATTTGACTCATATGAAACTAATTCGAACAACACAGATTTACTTCTGTTTCCCTTCACAGTCACAGGTTCATAATCCGTATTCACTGAAAGAATTTCTTCACAGGCTTTCTTGTCTTCATTTGGTCCTAAACTTCGATCCGAAAGAATCTTTCAGCCTCAACACAAGTGTCTCGAAATCTTCCTTTTTCATTACCGGCAACAGCAGACATCACGGTTGGTTGAAAAACTAGAAGATACAGCATGTAATCCGAGAGAATCTTACTGAATTCTCGATGTAAACTGTCCGTCACTTTCTTGTCGTCGGTGTAGTAGCAGAGATCAGTGGCAATGTGCCACAATAGAAGGCTTTCGTCATATTGAACATCACTCACATATTTCAGTAAATTGTTATCTGCCAAAACCCAATCACCTCTGGCCGAGGATACTCGTTGGGCAATTTCAGGAGTATCTGCAAACTCGGATTTATTTCTTAGCTCGCCAAAGATAAATGCCCATAGCTCCATAATGAATCGCTCACTGGACGCATACATAATCTTATCCACATAATCCTTAATGGGCATAGTGATTTTGCGGAACACAGGAGTTTTTTGAATAGACCTTACAAAAGTACTTGCTTTGCTCATTATCTTATATTTCCACAGATTCCTCAATGGGCATAGTGATTTTTCTGAACACGGAGCTGAAAAATTTATTCACATTTTCTCTAATAGTCCTTATAAAACTAATTGCTTTCCTCATATAAGAGCACGATAAACCATTGCCCTTAAAGGACTTGCCTTGGCAACACAAGCCAAAAATTCGCACAAACCGGGGAATTCATGGATTGTAGTCGAACTGCTTTTCAGGCAATACCCTATTAAGTTTTGTGCTGAGACGGATCCAGACCACCTTCGACACGCAAGGGGATTAGCCAAAACATGATGCTTGAAATTATTCTTTTCACTGCCAGAATTCTTTATCTCACATTTACAAGGGTGCCACCGGGGCTTCCTAAAAGCAAGGAAATTGCAGAAGAGAGCAGCCCATAAAGAATGTGGACCAATGGAAGCAAATATCCGATCTGAGGAAATGAGCATGAGGAAGGATATTACATCCAGGGCAATGGCACCAAGGAGCATGGTATAGGTGATTCTGATATCAGCTGCGTGGAATTCATCTTTCTTTGTTTGGAAATAGAAGTGTCCAAAAGTAGCTAAAAGCAACCAAAAAGCTATGAATCAGAAAATATATCCTGCAATAGAATGCACGACTTCCATCTTGGTATAGAGAGCATCATAGATCATATTGAGTTCAACCTCAATTATCCTCAGAGCCTCTTCAGCTGTCCTCCTATTGAAGAATTTACGTACTCTCATAAAGTTCTCGATTGATGAAGATGAGATCGACTACGAGTCCCGTAAATACTTGGAAGTACTTATAAGCATAATGCACCACTTCGAGATTATTCAAATCGTCTGCCACGGTTGGAACATCAGAACCCTCGAATTGTTCATCAGTCTGCGCCATCTCAGTTATTCGAGTTGGAAGTTGGGCTTCTCTCTTGGAAGCGTAATCCTCCATAAGTATGGCATAATTGGCCCCAGGATCCGGTTGTTTGAGTATGGAATCGCGAAAATTCTCCAAGCATGCAAGACGCGAAGCTCGTGTCCGCTCGACGTAGTTGATGATTCCAGCAATAAACATAAGTACTATGGGGATCCATAAATTTTCGTTGGGAAATGACTGGGAGAAGACATAAAAAACTGTTGCTACTTGAAAGCCAAGGAGAAGAAAGTGCCTCCACCACAGTTGATTATCTTCGAGAGCATAAGCAGTAATGGTATCAGGGCCGCCAAGATGCAGTCAAGAAAGGGTGCCCAAAATGCTAACAGATCACTGCTCTCCTTGGGCTTGGACGCAGGATTGTTGGACTGGTTACGTTGTTGGCTGTTGGAAATGAGACCAAGAGCAAAATTGGCAGTTGTGTCCGCCAACAAGTAAGCATACCAGATGAGGTATATTACCCATGTTGCCCTTGCGGATTTTCTAAATGGAGCCTTAGAAATCAGCATGGTTTGCAACCAGAGACTGAACAACATAGCCCCTCGGATGTTCCATTCGTTCCAAAGCTCCTTTACACCAAAAGGGATGGTTAGCAGGATGTAATGTCGAGCCATTTCTTCCCTCTACACTCTTTTCCGTCTCACTTCGCTCTTGTTAAGCACAACAAAGTGAAAGAGCCAATTATTTATATAAAAATAGAGTTTACAAACAAAGTCAAGCCATTCTTTTAGCACTTTTCCAATGGAAGTGCATGGCTCACTTTTGAGACTTGGGAGCTTACACACGTGGCTATTGAATGGATGTTTTAAGTAGAGGATTTAAAAACTCAAATAAAATTTTTTATATCATCAAACAAGGAAAGAAAAAATAATAAGAATTATTTTTTATATCATCAAACAAGGAAAGAAAAAAATGGTTAAAGTACAATGTGAATCTTATTCTTCTACCAAAATCAGAAATTATTCTTATTCTAACTTCCAAACTTCCAAGTAGTAAATCCTAAATATCAATTATAAATATTATATTATAAACATTTCTAATAACATTTTTACTTTAAATTTAATAACATTTTGTTACATAATGAATTTTGGGATCTCAATGAAAGAAAACATTTTTTTTCCTTCCAGTGAATCCAAATTACAAGCACGAGATGTGTACATATTATAGGCATTCCTACTTTATTAGTCCTACACTCCTACTAATTAATTGTTCATTACATAGAATTCAAATTAAAAAAGTTGACATAATTTCAAACTAAAACTTTTTTTTTTTTTCTGTCTCAAGAAAAACATGATATTTAATTTATCATTTTTTAAGGGCACATTAGCATATATAGGTAATCACTTCTCCTGCTGGAATTAGGGTTTAAAACAGAATTTCTCCTTATTTTCATTTTTCCTAATTATGGATTTTATTCCTTATTATTATTCCTCACTAATTACATCTAGAAAGTGGAAATGTGTTGTGCTATATATGTGAGAATTGTAATTTGTAAGCATGAAAAAAGAATACTAATTACTGGTACTAATTTCTTTAAATATTTCTTTCAAACCAGGATAATAGTCTACTAATTACTGGTACTAATTTCTTTAAATATTTCTTGCAAATCAGGATAATAGTCTAGAAGGAAACTAATAAGCAAGCAGCAGCAAAAAAAAAAACACAATAATTTAAGCTACTTCAGTAGATTACAATTCATTCGAGAGAAACATAAAAAGTGTGATGCATATCGTCTTTCCCATAATATCTCTCTCCTGCATGTCCTTCGCTGGTTTGGAACTGTGCCCCAATACCAAAGTGAGCCATCAACAACCAAACAAAGTTAATAAACTCTCCACTATTGCTTACCTCTTTTGCAAGTGTACTTGCTCTGCAATGATTTGCCGCATATGAAACTAATTCCACCCAGACTTTGCTCAATAACTTCCATTTCTCCTCACCATCTTCGGTTTCCATTCTGTTTAGCTCTTTGGCTAACATGCTTGCATCGAACAACACAGATTTACTTATGTTTCCCTTCACAGTCACAGGTTCATAATCCGTATTCACTGAAAGAATTGCTTCACAGGCTTTCTTGTCTTCATTTGGTCCTAAACTCCGACTCTGAAAGAATCTTTCAGCCTCAGCACAAGTGTCTCGAAATCTTTTTTTTCCAATACCGGCAGCAGCAGACATCATGGTTGGTTGAAAAACTAGAAGATACAGCATGTAATCCGAGAGAATCTTACTGAATTCACGATATGAACTGTCCGTCACTTTCTCGTCGTCGGTGTTGTAGCAGAGATCGGTGGCAATGTGCCACAAGAGAAGGCTCTCTTCATATTGAACATCAGTCACATATTTCAACAACTTGCTATGATCTGCCAAAACCCAATCACCTCTGGCCGAGGATACCCATTGGGCAATTTCAGGAGTATCTGCAAACTCGGATTTAGCTCTTTGCTCGCCAAAGATAAATTCCCATAGCTCCCTAGTGAATGGCTCACTGGACACATACGTCAACTTATCCACAAAATCCTTAATGGGCATAGGGAATTTTCGGAACACAGGAGTTTCTTGAATAGACCTTATAAAACTACTTGCTTTGCTCATTCTCTTATCCACAGAATCCTCAATAGGCATAGTGTTTTTTCTGAACTTTCTGAACATGACGTCAATGGGCATAGTGATTTTTCTGATCACGTAGCTGAAAAATTTATTCACATTTTCTCTAATAGTCCTTATAAAACTAATTGCTTTCCTCATATAACAGCACAATAAAACATTTCCCTTAAAGGAATTGCCATTGGCAACACAGCCCAAAAATTCGCACAAACCGGGGAATTCATGGATTGTAGTCGAACTGCTTTTTAGGCAATACCTTATTAGGTTGTGTCCTGGGACGGATCCAGACCACCTTCTACACACAAGGGGATTAGCCAAAACATGATGCTTGACATTATTCCTTTCACTGCCAGAATTCTTTATCTTACATTTACAAGGGTGCCACCGGGGCTTCTTGAGAGCAAGGTAATTGCAGAGGAGAGCAGCCCATGAAGAATGTGGACCAATGGAAGCAAATATCCGATCTGAGGAAATGAGCATGAGGAAGGATATTACATCCAGGGCAATGGCACCAAGGAGCAAGGTATAGGTGATTCTGATATCAACTCCGTGGTATTCATCTTTCTTTGCTTGGAAATAGAAGAGTCCCGAAGAAGCAAAAACCAACCCAAAAGCTATGAATCGGGAAATATAGCCTGCAATAGAATTCACGACTTCCACCTTGGTATAGAGAGCATCATAGATCATATTGAGTTCAACCTCAATTATCCTCAGAGCGTCTTCAGCTGTCCTCCAATTGAAGAATTTACGACTCTCATAAAGTTCTCGATTGCTGAAGATGAGATCGACAATGAGTCCCTTAAATACTTGGAAGTGCTTAAAAGCATAATGCACCACGTCGAGATTATTCAAATGGCCTCCCACGGTTGGAACATCAGAAGTCTTTGATTCTGCATCAGGCCGTCGCTTCGGAGTTAATCGAGTTGAAGGTTCGGCTTCTCTCCTGGAAGCGTATTCGTTCATAAGCCTGGCATAGTTGGCACCAGGATCCGGTTGTTTGAGCATGGAATCCCGAAATATGTCCAAGCTTGCAAGACGCAAAGCTACTGTCCGCTCGACGTACTTGATGATTCCAGCGATAAACATGAGTACTGTGGGGATCCATAAATTTTCGTTGGGAAATGACTGGGAGAAGACATAAAAAACTGTTGCTACTTGATAACTAAGGAGAAGCAAGTGCCTTTTCCACAGTTGATTATCTTCGAGAGAAAAAGCAGTAATGGTATCAGGACCGCCAAGGTGCAGTATGAGAAAGGGTGCCCAAAATGCCAACAGATCACTGCTCTCCTTGGGCTTAGACTCAGGATTGTTGGATCGGTTACGCTGTTGGCTGTTGGAAATGAGACCAAGAGCAAAATTGGCAGTCGCGTCCGCCAACAAGTAAGCATACCAGATGAGGGAAATTACCCATGTTGCCCTTGTGGATTTTCTGATTGGGGCCATAAAAATCAGCACGATTTGCAACCAGGGACTGAACAAAATAGCCCCTCGGATGCTCCATTCGTTCCAAAGCTCTTTTAAACCAAAGGGGATGGTTAGAGGGATGTAATGTCGACCCATTTCTTCCCTCTACACTCTTTTCCTTCTCACTTCGCTCTTGTTAGGCACAACAAAGTGAAAGAGCCAATTATTTATATAAAAATAGAGTTTACAAACAAAGTCAAGCCATTCTTTTAGCACTTTTCCAATGGAAGTGCATGGCTCACTTTTGAGACTTGGGAGCTTACACACGTGGCTATTGAATGGATGTTTTAAGTAGAGGATTTAAAAACTCAAATTTGAATAAAATTTTTTTATGTAAAAATTTGTTTTGGCAGCTTGTGCTTTCTTACTACTTACAAAAGATTTTACCTATTCAATCTTTTGTCTTCATCCACATTAAAGCTAAAGCTTATGATAGCTACCAAGCAAACATGAAATCATACTTATAATTCTAGACAAAATTAATGATTTGACAATTAAACATGAAATTAATCTCCTCTCAGTTTTTAATAACAATTTATTAAGTTTTGGAAGCAAATCATATTTATTTTTCTTCAATTTTTAAAGCAACTATTAATGGTATTTTTCAAATGTTCCACTAATCAAACTTTTCAGAGAATGATATATTAGATTATTCAACTCTATTTTATCATTCATATCATGAATCATATTTTCTTTTTCAATCTATTATTTTTCCTAATTCGAGCATGCAAACAATTTGTTTTTTTTTTGGATAAGCCCTAACAGGCTAATAAATATGATTCACTATGGGCCACCTTTGCTCATTGGCTTCTCTTTTTGGAACAAAAGCTTCCTCACTGGCATCATGAGATACTTGGCTGTGGTTCTTGAAAAAGCATTAATAGGGTATACTTGAGTTTCTTAAGTAAAGAATTGTCAAGGTACACGTTTTTGTTTTCCTTTTTATAGAAGTTGTTAAAGGAACAATTTGTAATTCTTATTCTAATTAAGAGAAGGCAATTCATTTACTGATGGGATTGAATGAAAGGTTCGCTCGGGAATATATTGCTTGCTTGCTCGCTTGGGTATTCTTTCGTGGTCTTTTTGCACTGTGTTGTTGTTCGTACAAGGCTACGTGCAAGGGGAATTGGCTTTGGCCCTTTAAAACTTGGTTTATACACCAAGTTTCTTGGAACTTTATCATCCTTTATTGTTCTCCTTTAATTACTTTGGGTGCCTTCCTTCTATTTGTGTGAGAGTATATGTGTATATAAAAATATATAAGGTAATTATCAAGTTAAAAACCAAATTTATGTTACTGAAAAAAAAAAGACTAATTTCATATACCAATATCTTACATGTTTGACAACATAAAAAACTAAATTGAAAAATAAAATTTGAAATAAAAATAATACATATGTATACTATATATATATATATATAAGAAATATGCTTATTCCCTAAATCCCAAGTCAATTTTGCTTCTTCACACAAAATTTTTCTTCTATTTTAAAAATCACAATCATAACTTGTTCTTCTTCGTGTTTCTGCTTTTTCTCGATTTTCTACCTCTAAACTTGCTTTTAGTGAAATCTGACGATGAAAAGCATCTTCAATCTCCTCTATGATTTAGGGAGTTTCTTGTCATTTTTAAGCAAGAAATCATATCCTTGATAATATCAGGTTTTATCGAAACCTAGGCTTCCCTCATACTAACAGGCCCCATCGACAAATTTCATATTACATTGATGATTATTTTCATATATACATGTCAGGAGAAGCAGCCCAATTTAACCTCAAAGAATATAACAAAAGTCATGACAACTTGAAAACTATATAAATAACACATTTGTTAGTGTTGGAAGGAATGATTCATTCTTATATTATGCATTTACACTTTCTAAACTTTACAGATTACAGATAAAAAAAGCATGGCACAAAATTTTCAAATTTAGTAAATGAAAAATAGCCATTTCAGATATGCATGGAATTTTTTTATTAAAAAAACTTATTTGTAAGGTCATTGTTCGTTGGCTTAAAGAACTACCTAGGGAACTCCAACAGCAAGAACCCCAGAAAATAAACTTTGTAAGATATTAGAAGCATTGAGAAAATGCAAAAGAACTAGTAATAAATTTTTTAAAACTTCTTTTACACTGCAACAGAGGACTAAACAACATTAAAATGAGTTCTAGGATTGAAATAAGAACAACTAAGAGAAAAAGGTTATGAATCAGAAAACTTTGCCAAAAGTTCATACAAAGATATGAAACATGCGATTTGTAAATCCTCCCAATGCCAAACTAAATTATAATTTATAAGTAATAATTAAATAACTTAATATTTAAATAAACTCTCAAACTTTACTCTAAAATGCAAATAAGTCATTGAATTTTATTACACGAAATTAAGATTATAAACTTTTATTTTATTGTAATTATATCCATTAGATATTAAGATGAATGAATAATGTTCAAACGAAAAACTTTTTAGAATAGCATTACATAAAATATTTGTTATTCAACTCATCCAAATAAATCTAAGCAATTGTTTGCTACAAATTAAATCATTAAACTAAAAAATTTTAACAAAAAAATTAAATATTTCACACTGCCAAAGATCAAATTACATTAAAATAAAAATTTATAGCCTTGATTTCATGCAATAAAATATCATGGACTTATTTTCATTTTTTAGTAAAATTTGAGGGCTTATTTGGGTATTTCCATAATTAAATTAATAATCAATAATTATCACCGCAGGGTAATCAAAAACAAAAAGAAAACCATTTTGGCATATGCTATAATAGCATCATATCTAGTAGAAGTTATGGAAATGCAAGAGGAAAAAAAATAAGAAATTTTTTTAAAATTCTATTCCACAAAGATCAATAAAAGCATTTGAAATTTTTTAATATTTTTGTGACAGCCACAATTGATCTAGATATGCATCAATTTGCTGATGGTATAAAACCTCGATTGCTTATTTTTATTAAATGGAATCTGGTTATAAAGAATTTTATCTATCAAAAGAAAGTAAAAGTCTTAAGGTCTGTTGATAAAGTACTAGATTCTTAGTTCTAATAATTAAAATTCAAATCTTGGTATAATATCAAGTATAAAAAAAAATAAAAAAAACTATCATAGCAAATATCAGTAGCATAGACTAAAGGAAATGGTGAAAAAGAACGAGAATAAGGAAACTAAAGGTGAAGAATTAAGAATAAAGAAAAAAAATGGAAAGGAACATATAGAGTAGAAGGGTAAAAAAAAAAAAAAAGGAAAGAAATGTTAAAGAAAAATGAAAAAAAAAAGAAGAAATAACAAAGAAAATTTGGAAAAGAGAAAAAAGAGCAACAAAGAGTGATAGAGTAAAGAAAAAAGAAAGTAAACAATGGAAAAAAAATTTAACTTTACCTATTAAGAATAAAGAAAAGAGGAAAAAGTAAGAGAAGTAGAGAACCAAAATTATCAAGACAAAAAAATAGTAAAAAAATGATAAAGAAAACATATACGAAAGAAAAGTTTGGGAGAATAAATAAATTAAAGCAAAAGTAAAGAAAGAGTGTAGGCAAATTAAAAGAATAAGAAACAAAAAAAAAAGTGAAAGAATAAAATATGGAAGGTAAAAAAAAAAGAGAAGAATAAAGTGAAGAAGAAGAAAGAAGAAAAAAATGGACAACAAAAAGAAAATAAAGGGTGTATAAGAAAAAACGAAAAAAAAAATAGGGAATATGTGAATTAAGATTAGTTGATTGTCATATATTCTTATATGTCTTAAGTTCAATATAATCTACTGCCACCTGTGATAACATATAGATCTATTGATCTATTGCTAGATATGGATTAGAGGAGTTATCATTAATTTTTTTTTATTTAGGTGTGATTGGTCATCTGAAGAAGATTTTAATCCATAAAATCAGATTTTAGGTTCAGGAATACGGTTAGGTGTAAGGAAGATTATAGCACTCCCACAACGCTCATCCATAAGATGGTACTAGTTTGATTTTAAATTATTCAAACCTAAAAAATGTTTATGTTTTGCTAAAATATTTAGTATTGAAAATTAATCTTAAAATTGTTTCAATAGTTTGGTAGTAATTTAAAATAATTTTTTTACCTTAGAAGTATTCATGAAGATTAGTGTCACACTCTAAAGAGGCTCTATCGTCGGATTTATTATAATATTTTATTCAAAAAAATCAGTAAAGTCTCATAATAGTTTTGTAAGATTTACTTTAAAGTAGATCTTCCAATAGTTTGATGATATTTTATTACCAAATGATTTGTAAAAATTTTTAAGAATTTCATTAAGCCTCTTAATAGTTTAGTAAGACTTAATTTATGAAGCAATCCTCCAATAGTTTGGTAGAATTCATGAATTTATTTTGTAAAGATTTTATTTGAAAAAGATTTTATTATTATTTTTATTGAAAGGATTTTTTTGCTTTTATAAATATTTTTTTGAAAACTTTAAAAAACCTTTTTTTTTTTTAATCTGGCTTCTACTGTTCCTCAAAAAAAGATTTTTTTATTATTATTTAATATTGAATAAAAAATATAAAAACCTGTAAAATTATAAAACTAAAAATAATTAAAAAAATGAAATGAAATGAAATTAAAAATAAAATGAAAAAAAAATTAAACCTTGTGATTCGAGTCGGGTCGAAACGGGTCAACGCGCGAATCCTAACTCAGGTTCATGCAGATCTTAAGTCACCCAAAACAATGTCGTGCAGAGGCAATATATAAGTCAGGTTCAACACCTTTTTGCTCAAAAGCCTCTTCCCCTTTCTCTCTCTAGCTGAATTCTCTCTGCCTTCTCTTTAAAACCCTGCCAAGAACACTACAAAAAATTTTCAATCGAAAATTGGATAACTTATTAGTTTCTAAAAAAATTGCCAAAAAGTTCAATCGAAAACTAAAAAATCCAGCGGTTTTTGGAAAAGTCACCAGAATCCCGTAAAAAATTCAACCTCATCAAAAAATTTTATCAAAAAATTCAAATATTCTTCTCAAACCCATAAAAAACGAAAAAAAAAACCTAGAAAAGCCCAGAAAATCCTCAAACCTTCCCATAAAGCTACAAATCTCTCCCGAAACATTCTAAAACCTTAA